GGTCTTTTGATACACAAAAGAAGATTACTAAATTTGGCGCATGGTTTAATGGTGTTGGCACTCGGTTAAATGGTGCAGGTTTGTTTGAGACTATAAAGCCTTTAGATGGTTTCATTAATGAGATATATATCGAATCAAATCATATACTGACCGATTTTATCGAATATTATAGTATCAAATTTGCATTTTCCTAAATAAACCCATGAAACCTCGGTCTTTTGATACACAAAAGAAGATTACTAAATCAGGCGCGGATCCAGGATTTCTTAGGGGGGGGGGGCCCACTTTTTTTTTGGTCCGAAAAAATCGTAACGACTCAGTCAGTCGCTAATTAAGCGGGGGGGGGGGGGGGGGGGAAGAGGACACTTTTTTTTTGTCTCGAAATTTGAAAATTTGACATTTTGTTCCGTGGGGGGGGGGGGGTCACCTTTTTTAGGTCAGCCATTGGCATATTTAAAAAAAATAAAAATTAAATAAAAAAAAAAAAAATCAATCAATAAATCACAGAAAAAAAAGGGGGGGGGGTTGCTCCAAAATACACACATAAAAAACCGAACGGGGGAGGGTCAACCCCCTAACCCCCTCCCACCCCTTCTGTACGTGCCTACTCGTCTGAAAATAGTTTTTCCCCTCCCGCGCGAAGCGCGGAAGCTTTTACGTTTCATTAAATCATTAGAAAAGAAGACGATTCGTTGTACAGTTTTTTACTCTTAATCCTCGTCTTAATTCATCCCCCTCTCCCGCGCAAAGCTCGGAAGCTTTTACGTTTCATTAAATCATTAGAGAAAGAAGACGATTCGTTGTACCGTTCTCGACTCTTAATCCTCATCTGAATTCAGTTTCCCCTCCTCCCTCCCGCGCGAAGCGCGGAAGCTTGTACGTTTCATTTAATCATTAGAGAAAGAAGACGATTTCGTTGTACCGTTCTCGAAAATAATCCTCGTCTGAATACAGCTTTTACGTTTCATTAAATCATTAGCGAAATAAGACGATTCGTTGTACCGTTATGACTTTTAATCCTTGTCTAAATTCAGTTTCCCCCCTCCCACGCGAAGCGCGGTAGCTTTTACGTTTCATTTAATCATTAAAGAAAGAAGACGATTTCGTTGTACTGTTCTCGACTCTTAATCCTTGTCTAAATTCAGTTTCCCCCCCCGCTTCGACGTTTTATTAAATTTTTAGAGAATGAAGACGATTCGTTGTTCCGCTCTCGAAAATAATTTAGTTTCCCCCACCCGCGCGAAGCGCGGAAGCTTTTACTTTTAATTAAATCATTAGAGAAAGAGGAAGATTCGTCGTACCGTTCTCGACTCTTAATCCTTGTCTAAATCAATTCCCCCCTCGACGTTTCATTAAATTATTATAGAAAGAACACGATTCGTTGTACCGTTCCCGAAAATTATCCTCGTCTGAATTAAGTTCCCCTGCCCTCCCCCGCGCGTAGCGCGGAAGCTTTGACGTTTCATTAATTCATTAGAGAAAGAAGACGATTCGTTGTACCGTTCTCGACTCTTAATCCTTGTCTGAATTTCAAATATGTTCTTTGTCTATTCCCTTTTCTTCCTACGTCCTCTTCCTTTACACTCCTCTCTTTTTTGGCCGGCGTTTATTGGGGGACCACCCCGCCACCCCCTGGCTACGCGCCTGCTGTCAGATAATGTTGATACCTTGTCCGCCCCGGAAGCTCAGGGGTTTAAGGTTTTAATTTACGGTCAGATTAGCATTCAGGTGTCCGCCTTAGCGCCCTAGACGGGGTCCAGGGGGCAGAGCCCCGGAAGTTCAGGAGTTTAGGCATTTAATTTCGGTCAGATGAGCATTATTTTGATACCTAATTGTTACAATGGCAGGTCACTAATTGGCTTGGGGTTCAGGGGGCGGAGCCCCGGAATCTCAAGGGTTTTAGGCACTCAATTACGGTCATATGAGTATCGAGGGGCCCGCCTAAGGGCTCTTGGTTGGGTCCAGGGGGCAGAGCCCCCAGAAGCTCAGGGGTTTTAGGCGTTTAATTACGGTCAGATGAGCATTTTTGATACCTTATTATTTGTGACACTAGCAGGACACTATTTGGCGTGGGGTCCAGGGGGCAGAGCCCCAGAAATCAGGGGTTTTAGGCATTAAATGACCGTCATATGAGCATCTAAGGGCCCTCCTTAGGGCCCTAGGTGGAATCCAGGGGGCAGAGCCCTTAGGATTTTAGGCATTAATTTTAATCATGGTCAGATGAGCATATTTTGATACCCCATTATAATGTGACACTGGCAGTTAACTATTTTTTCTTTCTCGCTCTCTTTATTTCTATTTCTCTTTAATATACTTTTTCAAAGAAAGTTTGGGGAGAGGGGCTCGAGGATCCCGATCCCCGCCGTTCCGCGGGCCCTGATATGTAGGCATCTCAAGAAGCATTTTCTTGCCTGGCTGTAAATTTAGGAATTTGTCATTTTCCAACAAACGCATGAAGTGAGGAAAATTATCTCATTTCAGCATTATTTGTTAACCACCGTTATGGAATTATAAATAAACCACGTTTGAATTCTATTTCTCCAACCCCCCCCCCTCCCCTATCAGTATGCCAGTGCCCCCCCCCCCCCTCCGATCTACACCTTGTTGGCGGGAAAATTGCAACTGATATCCCTTACCTTTCTTCATTCTCCTTTTTTCCCTTTCCCTTTCTCTTCTTTTTCACTTTCCCTTCCCTTCCTTATCTCTCTTTTAGGTTTGCTGGGGGGGGGGGGGAGGGGAGGGGCACGGTCATTTTGGTCCCCAACCCGCTCCACACATTGTTGGCGGGATTAACCGCAACATTACTGATCTCCGCTTCTTTTCTTCCTCTTTTTGTTCCCTTTTAGCTCTCCTCTTTTCCTTTTCCTTCCTTTTCTCTTTTTTTTAGCGGGGACGGGGGGGGGGGGAGAGGGGAGGCTAGGGTCTTCCCCCCCCCCTCGATCCACAACTTGTTGGCGGGAAAATTGCAACTGATATCCCCTTCTTTTCTTTTCTTCTTCCTATTTTGTCCTTCCCTTTATCTCCTCTTTATCTTTTTTCTTTCCCTTTCCTTCCTTCTCTTTTATTTTTTTATTGGGGGGAGGCAAGTCCTCCCCCCCCCCGATCTCCTTCTTCCCTCTTTTCTTTTCTTCTTCCTCTTCTTTTTTCCCTTTCTCTCCTCTTTCCCTTCTTTTCCTTCTCTCTCTCTTTTTTTTTTTTTTTTTTTTTTTGCGGGGGGGGGGGGGGGGCAAGGCACGCTCGGCCCCCACCTGGATCCGCGCCTGTACTAAATTTGGCGCATGGTTTAATGGTGTTCGCACTCGGTTAAATGGTGGAGGTTTGTTTGAGACTATAAAGCCTTTAGATGGTTTTATTAATGAGATATAATATATCGAATCAAATCATATGCTGACCGATTTTATCGAACATTAATAGTATCAAATTTCCATTTTCCTAAATAAACCCGGGGACCTCGGTCTTTCGATACACAAAAGAAGTTTACTAAATTTGGCACATGGTTTAATGGTGTTGGCACTCGGTTTAATGGTGAAGGTTTGTTTGAGACTGGAATCCCTTTGCATGGTTTTATTAATTAGATTATCTCGGATCAAATTATATACCTTGTGATGTAATTGAGCATCTTACCAGTATTAAATTTCCATTTTCCTAAATAAACCCGGGAAACCTCGGTCTTTCGATACACAAAAGAAGATTACTAAATTTGGCGCATGGTTTAATGGTGTTGGCACTCGGTTTAATGGTGTTGGTTGGTTTGAGACTAATATAGCCTTTAGATTGATTCATTAATGAGATATATATCTAATCAAATCAGACTTAGTGATGTTATCGAGCATCTTACCAGTATCAAATTTCCAATTCCCTAAATAAACCTGTGAAACCTCCGTCTTTCGATACACAAAAGAAGTTTACTAAATTTGGCGCATGGTTTAATGGTGTTCGCACTCGGTTAAATGGTGCAGGTTTGTTTGAGACTATAAAGCCTTTAGATGGTTTCATTAATAAGATATATATCGAATCAAATCATATACTGACCGATTTTATCGAACATTATAGTATCAAATTTGCATTTTCCTAAATAAACCCGTGAAACCTCGGTCTTTTGATACACAAAAGAAGATTACTAAATTTGGCGCATGGTTTAATGGTGTTCGCACTCGGTTTAATGGTGATGGTTTGTTTGAGACTAGAATGCCTTTGCGTGGTTTCATTAATGACATATATCTCGGATCAAATCATATACAAAGTGATGTACTCGAACATTATAGTATTACAATCTTCATGTTGCTAAATAAACCAGTGAAACCTCGGTATTTCGATATAAAAAAAAAGATCACTAAATTTGGGGGCATGGTTTAATGCTGTTGGCACTCGGTTTAAGATATGTTTGAGACTTATAGCCTTTAGATGGTTTTATTAATGAGATATATATATCGAATCAAATCATATCGAGCAACTTACCAGTATTAAAATACATGAAACGCCTATTATTTTACTAAATATTGTGGCTGTCAACTATTTAAGCAACATGCAAGTAATATTTTGTAGGTGGGTTTAGGTAGGCCTAGGTAGGTAGGAACTGCATTGAACTGCTGGGTGCACATGTTTTCTTTTCTTCAGTTTTCTTTTTTCTACAAATCATCTTTTTGAAAGTTCCTTAGTATGAAGCCACGAAAGAGTAAAATATTATGAAAAAAATACCTATTTGTTATTACAAAACTAGCTAGATTAGGGAGTGTAGTTGCTTTCAATTCTCTGTTCGTACTTGGCTTCACGGAGTAATTCGTCCTTTATAGCGATTCTCTTCATTCCGGAGCAACGTACATGTACTAATACTTACAAACGTACTCGTGTACTAGTACATGTGTATATGACACACTACGCACGCCGCACGTATGTGACGTAGGGACTAATGAATATTCATGACTCCACTAAAGCTCGTGCCAATATATGCTACCGATTTGCGACCCTAAAAAAAAAGGGGGGGGGGGGGGGGGGCAACACAACATCTTTAGCAGATGCAACGTTAATGAGCGCGATGGCTGCTGCTGCCGATAACTGTATAAAATGTCAAGATGTGGAGGCTGTTTACAGGTGTATAGCTGATCATGAAGAACGATACAGGGTGAAATTCATTACCGCACATAAAGACAGAGACTTTGGTAAAATTCACGGTGAGTCTGACCCTCTTTCTCCTCGGGTATAATAAAAAAAATAATGTAATACTTGGTTAACTGTAGTCCCACCCGTTTAAATTTAGGTTGGAACAATCAATTCTCTCAGCTCAGCTCAACTCGAGAATGTCGAGTGTCGAGAATGTCGACCGGTCATGAAAGACTGGTCGGACAGAAATGCTCAGTGTCTAAAATATTGATAAAGATTGATATTTGCGTATGATACAATCTATTTGGTATAACATCCCCTCTTTCAGTCTTTGGTGGTAAACAAAAACAACATCAACAAGAACTAGATCTAGTTCTATGTAAACAACAGTCATCGACATAAACAAATAGGCATCTGAAAAAACACAAAAAGAGAGTCACAAGACCTTATTGTATAGTATTGTGTCTCTTTTCTTCTTCTTTTTCCTCGGTAAATGCTACTCCATACAACGCCTTTTGCTGAAATTGTGTTGTTTACTGAGTGTTGTCTGTACAAATGTGTAGGGAAGACTTCCTTTTGCTACATGCAGCCACTCCACTTGAAGAAAAAAATATGGGTAGCTACAGCTTAGAATGATACATCTAATAATAATAATATGATATATAAAACATAATAAAATAGGGTTAGGGTTAGATGACATAGTGAATAGGTGGCTGTCGCAGAAAGAAATCTTTGCAATGTGTACATTGATCTAGTAGATCTGAATTGAATGAGTGTTGTGTCTAGCCTAGAAGACGACATAATATTTTAGAAGAGAAAATGCTGAACGATCTCTTCTGTAGACTAGAGCAGAAACATCATTTTCTCTTCTTTTTAGGGTGTCTTCCAGGCTAGTTGTGTGCAGATTGCAGTCACTGCAGTTCTATTCTATCTTGTTATCATCATGGCAAATACAGAATTTATCAATAATTTTGTTTGTACTTGTACTTGTAGAATGTATTCCTGATCCTGGCAAGTCCTTTCTAAGGTTTCGACTAGACTACGGTGGCCAGTCTCCTAAGATAGAATGTGATGGAATGCCATTCTTTTACATGCATCGTCATGTCCTGATATGTCATCAAGGAAAGGACAGGAATGAAAAAACCAAAGCCAAGAGAAAGGTAATTGGAATGGCTTTTAAGTCGATGATTATTTGCTCAGGATTTTAAGAGGCAGGTTATGTTGATTACTAACAAATTGTTGATTATGTAATATTTTATTGTACTTTAGTCTTCAATGTATTCATTTAATTGTATTTCGTTTGTGAATGTATTGTTTTATTACTTGTTTAAATTTATTTTGTGAAATATAGAAATAAATTTAAATCGAATCAAAAATCAAAAACAAGTATCATTGTTGTACTGTTATTTACTTTATTCTCAATGCGGAGCTTCATACCAACTTTAATGTCAGGAGGTCAATTTTAAAGGGGAAAAGGGGGGATAGTCTTGCTATGTACAGGTATGGTTCTTGATAAAACTAGTAAGAAGAAGATCTTGGGATTTTTCTTAATTTGCCCTGTTTATGTAAAGATAACCATGTGGCAATACAGACTAAGAGTTTGCCTATGATAGAAAAGTAAAGGTTTCCAGGGTAAGTATTTTTCTTCTACTTTATATGTATATTTGAAGACCACTTTGAAAATATTAACGACCAGAGTAAAATTTAATGAAAGGAAAGTTCTACGGTCCCTTGTCAAATCAATGATACCATTAGTGATGCAATTAATCATACCACTAAAGCTATGTCTGGCTTATACTTGCAGGCTCTGGTACAGTTCAGCAATGCAACAAATCAAGAAAGCACTGGGAGGAAGAAGAGGAAGCTAGTTCAGGATACCAAGAAAGTTGATTGTCCTGCCAGCGTGTATGTTGTACAAATTCTAAGGTTCACAGACCACAAAGTACAGGTAATGCTGGCAGAAATCTTCAGAATTATTGGGGAAATTATCCTATATTCTACTGATGTAATGTAGCTGAGCATTTTTATGGTTTATCACTTGACAGTTATGTTTGATAGGCATTCATGAGGTAGTCAATATCATTCATTTTGATTTAAATTTTCTACAAATACAAATAGTATTTGATTTTTGTTTAAGTTTAACAGTAAAAGTTTATTGACTTCATCATCTGGGAAATCAATATATATCCCTGAATTAGATTATAAATATTCCTGTGTTGAAACTTACCAATGGCTCAGTGAAAGAGCATTGGTCTCGTAACCGGGAGGTCCCTGGTTTGAAATCAAGTCAGTGGGCTCCTGCTTTTTGGTAAGTCCCTCAGAGAGGACTTAAAGCCGTAGGTCCCCTGATTGTTTACTCACAAGTATATACATGCTCTCTTAGCAATCTGGCAATATAATCATCATCAAACATTAAACAAATTCATCATCATGTATTCATGATTGAAAATTTATCTTCTTTTTAACCTTGACAACTAAGATACAATCTCATCAGAGACTATCTCATTAACTCAGCTCTCAATTAACATAAGAAAAAGAGGATCATGGGGGACCAATGATCACCGATTAGGCATTGTTTTCTATATAGAGGAAGCAAGTAGCTACAAGTAGTACAGTGGGGCTTTAAGGGTTGCTTGTATGATTCTAGTAGGCAACTCTGAATTATTTTTATCTCAGTTTCAAGGATTAGAACCAACAGGTCACTCCAAGGTCCTTGTGAAAAGACAGCTGAGAGAAGAATACCAGACTGATGCCAGCTGTATCCATACAGAGACACTCTTCTATGTCAGTCTACCATCACTCTCATCACATAGAGGACATCCAGTCAACAACATTGTAAGGCAAATGTCTTGGAACAACTTTGAGTTCTTTTGATTATTTAATTAGTTAATTGAGATACATTTGACAAACTAGCAGAAGCAGTTTTTCATGCATTTTGAGGGATTAGTTTAATTATTGAACAATCGCGTGTGATAATATTTTTCTCCAGTGGGTTACCTGTTCAAGAATTAGCCTGAGATACATGTAGACATCATGTAAACAAAACGTGAAGCAACTAAATTGCCTTGTTTTGTTGTTGTGGTTGTTGTCTTTTGTTTTGTCTTGCTCATAAGGAGAATTAATGATGTATGAGAAAGTATTTATAACTTTATGATATCATGGACTAAATACATGTACTGTGTAACAGAAATTGCTGGTGATATGTTTGCCTCAGGCTGCAGGTCTACGGGAAGCATTAGATCCCCGTATCATCCACAAGATAGCTGAGCTGACAGCCAAGGGCATCTCCAAGGTTCCAGAAATAAGGAAGCATCTTGACGAGTATGTACAGAGCGCCCTCTTCCATTCAACTGAACAGCCAGAAAGGACGAGAAGACGCTACTACCCGACAGATATCGATATCCGCAATACAGTACAGAAAGCTAAGAAGGAGGTCCATACGAAGGTGGACCAAAATAATGCCTCTCTGTTGATTTCATTGTGGAAACAAGGAAATAAGGATTTCTTTGAATACAGACCACTACAACCAGGTATGGTGAATCTTTTAGTTGGCATAAAACACGTAATTACATTTTATATATGTTTTTCATAAAAACATCAGATCCTTGAAAGTATAGAATAGAAATTTATCGTCTTCCAGAGAATGAAGAAACTTTCCTTCCAGTATTGTTGGGTTATTATCTCATTGTAAAAATCTAGTTAGAGAATTGGAATTCATTATCAAAGAAATGGATGGATAGAAGTAGGAACAATTGAAAGAGGTGCAAAATCATCCAAAGGATACACAAATTCTTTCTTGAGTGAGTTCTGAGTTATTCTGTTAGTACTTTTAATGAAAAAAAAAAGACTTAAAGTTCATCTCCCAAATGACATTAGACTGAAGGACTAGTAACTACATCAGGAATGGGCTGTCCTTTCTTCGTATATGACATACCATTCTCAAATTTGTTAAGTTGTTTATTTAAGATTCCTCTTTAACAGTGGAAACAACTAGGCAATGAATTTTTTATACTGTCTGGCAGATGAGACTTAAATCAAATATTATATGAAATCATTCCCTGCAGGTTCGGAATCAGACAAATTTCTCTTCTGTTGCCAAACACGCTGGCAAAGCCGACTTCTCAACAAGTATGGCAACTCATTCACAGTCTTGGATGCTGTCTACCGGAGTGCTGGCTACTCCCTCCCCCTCTTCCTCCTCTCCGTTAGGACCAACATGGGATATACAGTGGTTGGGATGTTTGTCTCACATAGCGACACTACGGAGGACATCTCAGAGGCTCTGGGTGTGTTTAGAAGATGGAATCCTGACTGGAAACCAGAGGGGTTCGTGGTGGATTATTTTGACCCTGAGATTGAAGCTACAGAGATGGTTTTTCAAGGTTTGTTTCTTTTATCTCATCCTGCATACAAAATACAGTCCAAAACTAGGGCTAATTGTTTGGTTTAGAACTATCATTATTTATTCTGAGATGATGATTTATGATATCTGTTGTTATGATTAATATTGGACAAATCTATGGGATAAAAGTACTAACAATTAGGATATGAAAAACAAAACATTTTCCTGAAAAATGTCATGACAACATGTTATATATTTAATAGAAGGCTGTTGAGAATATAAGAATTATATATATATATATGTCAACCTACAACATGAAAACTAGCCATGACATATCAATATTAAATTTGAAGGTTATTAATCTGATTCACATAATAGTACAGTTTTATTTGTGTCATTCAAATCATGTACAGAAGGGGGAAGATTGTGCTTGTTTAAAGAGAAGGTCAAGTTCTGGGAAGAGGTGAAAAGTAATTTGTGAGCGTTATCATTCTTATTATGCAAGTGTGGAAGAACATCAGATAAGACATGTTCCCTGAAAAGCATGGCTCTTCAAATGCCTTTATATTCAAAAACATGTCATGTAACTCGTAAAACTCGGGGGGGGGGGGGGGGTAGGTTTTTTATGCCACGTGTTTGTGTAGTCCCATATACATCTTTCTGTGTACAGTGTTTGTAACTTTACCAAGACTTGGCCAAATTTCTTATCATTTTGATGATTCCAGAACCTTGCAATACACACAAATTCTTATATGCTAAATGATCTTTTCTGGTCGATTTCACACCGTTTCTTTCACAATGCAATCGCATGACCAGAACTCAACTTCATCTTTAACTGATATAGCTACCATGGTTAAAAAAGAAACCTATCAAAGAACTAGATCAACTTAAAGGCCCTTGGGAGCATGACTGATATTGAATGTAATTTGATACCAAATTTCAAATCACATATATTGATATCAATATGAATATATATAGACTGCTTTTCAAGATAAACTTTGTTTTTATGACTAGTAATAGGGAGTTAGTAATAAGGAAATAATTTGCTGTTTAACAGGATGCACTGCATTGTTCTGCTACCACCGCTGTGAGACGTTATGGCAGGAATGGCTGAGGGACTCGTCTGGAATATCTGATGGGTTAGTGAGAGCTCGCATCATCAAGACACTGCGGAGGATTGCCATGGCAACCACAGTGAGAGAGCAGGATTCTGGTTTGAAAGGACTGAAGACGATGTCAGTATGGAAGGAGATGGAAGGTGTGTCTAGCTGGTTCAACATGTTCTGGTTATCGTGCATGAAGGCAAGTCATCTTAGTCACATCCTTTGTCTAGAAGACATAATTTATAAATTGTTTTGCATCATGAAATTCAAGATGGTGGTGATACATGTAAAAATAGATGTATTGTATCCAAAATGAACTTCTTCAAGCTACATTATTATTATTATTATTGTGTTCCAAAATATTTGTATGATTTACTGCAAACACTTCATTTGATTTGATTTGCTAATTTAAGTTGCCAGTATAATGAGCACATGGCAGATGATTCAATACTCATTATGATTGTTGCCAAAACTGTAGATTAATGCAATGCCTGACAGGTGCTTTAAATACAACAAATTTCCCAACTCCTATATAGTCCTTGGTCTTTTCACTGCTGTAGTATTTCTTGTCAGTCATGTCTCTAGGTTGTTTCTATTCTCCCCTATCTCCACACTTTGTTTTGGGTTTGCAGAACCTATCTGCTCCATTGGCCCAAACCATCTTACAGTCACTGGTATCTTCTCAGAATATCTTCTACTTAAAAACCAAAATCTTTTGCGACAAAACTTTCATGGATTGTTGAGAACAGCTATTTTCTTGGCAATAAATTTTTGCGAATTCCCCCCAAAATTGAGCTGTACTTGTTAATTGTGTTTCATTATTTTGTCGCATGAAATTTCAAGATTATAAACCACTAAGTAATGGGCAAACGCTTAATGCCTGTGAATGTTTCTTGTTGTAAAGAACTCAAAGACTAACCCTCCTTGCTATTATGAATGATCACCAAACTGACTCCTTTTTTCCTCCCACTTCTCTAACCTCAGAGATGGACAACCCTCTTCCAGAATGAGAGGGTTAGAGTTGCAATGTATGCTGTCAATGGATGCAAGCAGCAGAGTGACATGTTCAACCAGGGATATGTGAGCGACAATAAAGACTGCAGCCTGAGTGAGATCATTACTATCCTCTACACTAAATGCTTCCCAGGAGAATATAGAAAGTAAGTAACTACTTTCTTGTCAACTAAAGTCTGTCAGAAGATATCATTTGATAGTAACCTTGAATAATGAGCGCAATATTTGTTGAATTCTGTTTTTTTAATAAATTGCCCTTTCATTACTTAAACTCAAGGTCTTTTTATTTTGTTTTAATTTCATATGATAACGATACCTGTCAAAATTACAAACCTCCTAGTTATAAATTCAGTTTTCCTCCAAATTATTGCTTTGTAAATCATCACTAAATTGTAGAGATGAAATAAGTGTTTTCTGTTTTTCTTGCGGTTGATTCACAGGTATGTGGAGTTCAATGCACGCTATTCCAGCAGTTACCTCAAGTACAGCTCCGATGTCCCTGCTTTCCTGCACAGTAAACCTCGTTTCATTGTAGAGCATGTGGAAAAGTGCATGACAACAACCATCATTCCAGAGAACATCCACGCTGGGCAGAATGGACACTTTGTTGTCAAGGGAGATAGATCTCAAACACATCAAGTGTTCTTTGGCGATGAGGAGAGGTATCCCTCCTGTACTTGTTCATACTGGACCAAACTGTATCTGCCTTGCAAACACTTCTGTGCCATCTTCCAGCACGTGCCTGGTTGGTCTTGGGACCAGCTTGGAGCTGCGTATCGAGACAACCCTCTGTTTCTCTTAGATGGGGACGTCCTACTGGCTAGTGATCCTGAGCAGCATTCTCAAAAGGTTCAACAGAATACTGCCGAGGAGCTAGGAAATACAGTGCCAGTGGATACTGATGGGGAATCAAGAAGGGCTCTAACTGAAGAAGCATCAGGGTCCAAGAGGCCACAGCGAGCTGCAGTCACATGCAAACGTCTTGTAAGAAATAACATGGACCTACTGGATAAGTTGGAGTCTCAGGTTCCTCATTTGAAGGATGAGTGTTTCCTTGAGGACATGTTAAAAACCTTGCAAAGGTTAGTGCATAGAGTACAAAGTATCAGGACTCAGGGGAGCAAAAATGCTGGGGCAACTCACAGAACTTCATCAAGAATTAAGAGCAAGAGGAAATATCAAGGTGACCTGGACGGTACAACTGAGAAAGAGCAGGACACTCTAGCTGGTTCTGAACTTTCACAAGACATTCCCTCATTGGCTGTGGAAGTTGATCATATAACTGGAAATAATGCAGCTACACAGTTCTCCCAAGATACCTTAACTGGTGTAAACAGCAACACTCACCAAGTAATTGCTGAAGGTGGTCAAAAAGCGTCTGGAAGTAGCCAGGAAAATGTGAGTCATGCTACAATGTCCCTTGTTAATGTAAATCAACATGTCCAGAATAGCACATCTGACAACACTCAAGGAACTTGTGAGATCAGGAGTGACATGATTGAAGCTATTGTCCTCCAGCAGAATCCATACACAAGTAACTACTTACCCTTGAACGTGGAACACAATTTTGCTCAAGGATCCCAAGGAACAGTCGCGGAACGCCACGGCCTTCAGAGCAACATCACTTTTGTGACAGAAGATCCAGTTCTAGGACATCAGGAGGTCTTGTCCACTGAGGGTATTATTATTCAGACAGTTGATCAGGTCGACCCGGGAAATTTCATCATTGATTCCACACACCAAGGTGTAACAGTCACCGTTACCAATACTGATCTTGACGGAGTGCCTTCTGTAACGTAATGAGAACAGTCCTAAACATGTTCTTCAAGTGCAGTACCTTGAATTCCTTTTGTTTTGAAAATAAGTCTTTCTACATGTCTGCTTCCAAATAACTGATATATATTTTCTATTCATATGATATGATACTCCAATTATGAGAACAGATATCTGAAAACCTTTTTTGTTTCCAGTCTTTAAAGGGATCCAGTAACTTTATCTTAAATCCTTTAAAAAAATTCCTTGATTTAGCTCATGCTGCAATGATAATTATAAACCTATTTATGATTGAAATCGAAATCAAATTTTATGTTTACCAAACGATTTTCATAACAATACTGTCTATTAGGGAAAACGAGTATGGTAAGACTAGTCACTCAAAGGTTTTTACTTTTTTTGAGGCACTTCTTGAACATTTTGAAGCGCAATTTTTTTAGGGCTTCAATATATAACACCATATCACAGACACTGATAACACGTAAGGCCATGCATCTCATATATAATATTGTTAAACAATCCCTTTAACAGTAGGTGATGGTTATGTCGTTGTGCTGAGCCATATGTGTGTAATTGGACACTATCATATGGTGTTACCAAGACATCTCGTCAGGTAACCATCAAACTTGTTTTTAAATAATTTTGACTTCAAAAAGACATCTTTATTATTAGTGGAAGATGTATCAGGCCTTTTGAGCTGTAAAAATGTTTTTTCCCCTGCATTTCATAATAATGCAGGTATCCATTATCAAAATGTATGTGGTATCCTAATTATAGTATATTGTCCACATGGCAAATACTGTTAAAGCAGGCAATATTGTCTGATTTTCGTCCACATCTCACATCTAGGAACTTGTGATATTGTGATGATAAGTCAAGACTTTTATTGTTGTTTAGAGGCATTTGGAGTTCCATACTTTGTCCTAAATTACATTCACGTCTGATAACTACTGTATTTTATAACTGACGCTCCAGCCAATTTTCATTGAATACAAGTGTTTTTTGTTATATCTTTCATCCTGATAAGGTTATTTAGACAAGTCATCAAGTAAATACATAATTTATCATTTGTATAATTTCCCTTACCTTTGAAAATCAATGTATTTTGAAGGTGGTTACTTGGTTTCTTTGTAACAATACCTTTATTTCAAACCATATCTTGACTCATGTGACATTGCTATTACAACACAATTGAATACATTGCTCTATGTTCAACTTACCCCACAAGGTCAAAGTGAATGGTAGGAGCAGCTCTATGGCTTTTGCGACAACCATTCCATGTAGTTTGGCTCAATAACTATTGATTCAGATCCCTAAAATATATGCAAGACATAAAAGTAGAAAGGTCAAAATTTGTGTTCTTTTCCTCATTTAGTATATTAGTGTGTGTGCTGTATTATTATCACAGTAACAGCAATAATATGTTTATTGGAAGTGTAATTTTAAAAGGGGGGGGGGGGCAAATATGAAACGGACAAATTGAGATAGATAGGGGAGAGGGAGAAAAAGTGTGTGTGTGTAAGAGAGAGAGGGAGAGAAAGTGTGTATGTGTGTGAGAGAGAGAGAGAGAGAGAGAGAGAGAGAGGGAGAGGGAGGCAGACAGAGACAGAGAACACAAGAAAAGAGAGATGGTAGCAGGAATGCTTATTACCAGAAATAGCATATTCTCATCATATACATGATACTGCATTTGCATGAATAAATGGCATGACAACTTTATTTTTCCTTTCAAAGCAAAAAAGCAAATATATTATCAGTAACACTCTGGAAACATTTGGCAAATACAAAGCATACAGATAATTCTGACCGTAAACCTTTATGTATGAATATTTCATGCTCACATGTGACATTACATAATATATGTGACAGAGAGAGGGAGGGATTGAGGAAATAATGTGCACAATAACTACACATAAATGTGATCAATAAAAATAATGGTAAGATATATATGGTGATGCTATTACACAGCTCATCAATCATTTGATGAGTTAAGAAATGTGAACTTGTGTCCAATTTGGCCTTACATACCATGAGACATTCCATTTCTATCCCTTTCTCTGTCTAAATCGAAATAATAAGGTAAGGAGAACAGAAGAATGACACAAAAGAAGAAAAACTGGCAAGATGTTATAATAATGTATAGACCATAAACAAGCACAAACAAGGAATGAATTGACATTGGATAAAACAAAAGTACAGGTGGTGGCAGATTGTCAAATAAGAATAGTAAAGGGGGTAGAGTGTTCATCTTTTTTGTTGCAGTCTTTTACATTTCATGTACTTAAATACAAACCAATGTACACGTTTCTCACTCTTTTAAAATTTCTGGTAATACACAGCAGGAGCGTAATAGAAGGTGAATGTTTTAACAGTAGTGCACTTTGGTATCAAAGGTTGGAGGAGTCACAATAGTGTATTCCTGAATCCAATGTTTAGTGTTTGACTTTTAAGGATATATCAGTCAATAATGTGTGTTTCAACTGATTTCCTCCACTAATAGATATCTCATGTAATGGTACTATTCAGGTCGATATGACTCACAATAACAAAATAATGAAAAACAATTACAAAACGAAAATTACATATATATACAGGGAAACGATTTAGCTAGACAGATACTCCCAACAAGTTGTTGAAAGAAGAAATCAAGATTCTTTATTTGGTCTTGGACCATCTAGGTGCACTTAAAGAAATACACATTTTCACTGATCCTGGCAAAATGCAGTGTATCAATTAGAAATATAAATCATTCTTCTCGATTGTTCTCTTTGCGAACCCATCATGACAAAGGTCATCCAATATGCACAAGAAACTGATACGATTTACATCAGACCATGACAAAACCCTGCCTGTTTATGAAATACATTATGAACTGCACATATTCCACCCTTTGCCCATATAAGAATAAACCACCAACACATTTTTCTTTTGCATTGATATATCTCGTAAATTTACAGGAAGTGTCCAATTTCAGCCAAACTCCCTTTAGGTACCCTTTCTATCACCTTCCCCTTAAATTAAAAAAAGGACGACAAATTATATCATATACAATGTACCACATTAACATTTCTCGAATGTTATTTCGAGAGTTATTTAACCATATGATTAGTGAGACCATATTGTATAAGCAGCATAACAGGTTCGGACATCTCAAAAATGACAACATTTTCATCTTGTACTTCAGAGCATTAAGATTCAAATAAATGTCTTGCCAAACAACGAACATCGAGTGGCATACATTGAACCCCTTGATAATGTGATCCAGAATCACATGACATTATACCACTATTTATCAGTGAACATATCATACTAGAAGTCTGAGTAATCCAAGCTTTTGGTCTTGTAAACTAGATTTTAACCCTTTTTCTGTACAAAGTTGAAACTTATGTTTTTTTTAATCCAAAGGACATATGAACTTAAATGTGAAACAAACCCTTTGTTTCTATTTCAGTTGGTTCAATTTCCCATAAATAATGATGATAGCTTTACCTATATTCTGCACCTTTGCATTTGTATTTTGAGGCACCTACACAAGCAACTGAATTCTACTACCCTGGCTATAGTCAAGCTGTCACAAGGCTTTAAAAGTAGTCCAGAAAGTACAGTACTTCCTACCACATACCTATTTACTACATCTGGGTCGAGAGTGACAAGTGCACTTTAATGTCTTATTAATGATGAGCATGTATGCACAGCAAACCAGTTTTTAATCCGCAGTACACTGACATATCCACAAGGTCACGTCACCTCTACTCATGCTAATGTTTACAAGTTGGTTGAGTAATCCTAACTCTCCTCAAATGCTTCCTGAGAATATTCTGCATGCAAGTTTCAACTATCCGAGGCAAGATGGCCAACTAGACTACACGATACACAAAACATTAATATTGCAATTATGCAACGACCAGAAGTTTCAACAGAACTAGCTTACTAATGATTATATCAGTAAAATCTATATTTCCAATAAAAACATTAAATCAAAAAGTTTCTTGGAGAAATTGTCAAGAGAGGGAAGAGAAGTAAAAGATGCAAACAAGTTCCTCCTAATTATGATTTTGTTGGTATTTAAATTGTAATTATGACAATTTTACCCTGTCACTTTAATTACCATTGATAGAAACTCAATTACATGTGATCAATCACATTTTGGGCTCATGACAATGTGAATACGGAAATTGCTAACTAACAAACTACAACAAAAAAACCCACTTCCTTCATATGGTTTGTATATTGATTTAGAACCGCAGTTAAAGGGCCCATGACATCGAAATACAAGTGTATTCCTGTTGGTGTGCAGTCCTGCATACATCTTATATTTTGATATGTAAACTTCTGAATTTGTTTCATAGATTTTTAAATATTTTTTTAAATATTTGTTTTTCAAACTTGCTAAGCTCCACCCCAAAAACCTCCAGATCTCATTCCCCTTGTGACATCATCTGTCAGTTATCAATGAGCTAACTTGAGAAAGTGGCATGTAACCACCTGTTACAATACCACAAACAATAGCAACATATAAGTTGCTATGTCAGACATGTCAGACTAAACTAATATTCTAGAATAGACAATGGTATGTAATTTCCCCCAGCTTAGCATGCGTTCATAATAGAAATGCATGATTCCATTATGTACAATACATCATCATTGCCTTTGTCTTCCTGGTGATGCTACAGCATGTCTGACATAGCAACTTGTATGTTGTTATTGTATTACGTGTTGTAACAGGTGATCGACTTCGACAAAGATACAAACCACTTTCTCAAGTTAGCTCATTGATAACTGACAGATGATGTCACAAGGGGAATGAGATCTGGAGGTTTTTGGGGTGGAGCTTAACAAGTTTGAAAAACAAATATTTAAAAAAATATTTAAAAATCTATGAAACAAATTCAGAAGTTTACATATCAAAATATAAGATGTATGCAGGACTGCACACCAACAGGAATACACTTGTATTTCGATGTCATGGGCCCTTTAATTGAACACCTGAAGTGACTACCAGTATTTAACTTCAGTAGATACGATTTCAATTTTAAGAAGGTGAATTTTCTTTGCTTACCAAAATCTCTCCCTGATATATTATCATGGACTATTCGACCCCTTTACCCCTCTTTGGCAGTAATCACACTTTGTTTTAACAAACACAAATTCTTGATATAATGCAATTAGATGTGTTTATATTTTTCCTTGCGTAGTAAATGCTAAAGATTCTACTTCTCTACTATCATTATAACGGTTCAATGTAGATTAATTATCCCAAGCTTTAGCTTCTCTTTCCAGATGCTTGGTCAATAATTCCAGTCTAAATTTAGCCATGCATGAACTCTAACCTAGATAAACTGATTGATTTGACCTGAACTTATGACCTTTCACAGGGTCAGTTCAATGAACCAATAGGATTTGGGTGATGTTCTGATTTGACATTCAGTAGAGCAATATTCAATGACATCGGCAATTGGGGCAAGGATTCATGTACCATACTGCAGCTAAGAGCTAGGTCAAGGAAATAACACAACCTTGTAATACTTTACATCATGCAATGTACTTATAGCACACTCTTTTAACCATTATTTCATACAACATAGTATATTTAACAGAACAAATCAAATACACAAGATGTCCTGAACACAGAATGACATGAGCTTTTCAAAAAAGCTTTACAGACTAAAATATAAATCTTTCTAATATGTCTGGATATACAGATATAAAAGCTTTGATTTTACAGCATAACAAAACAAATAAATGCACAGTGTATGTGAATCAATTTTACTGACCTTTTACAGAATTATGTTATCTAAAATAGAAATGGTTCTAGGAACAATTAATGCCGACACAACACATCAGACATTAGGCTTAGGTAATTTAGGATTAAGGTTGCAAATATATTGTATTTTATATATTCTGATGGTATATATTTCTATTCTCATTTTTACATCAACTCAACTTGTTTTCTGGCATGCTTGTAAAACATATACTACCAAGTCGATTCCTTGACTAGATTAAACAGCTAATATGACAGAGATATCTAACATTATGTACTAGTATTGCATCCATGATGTCGATTCTATTTTTAACTTTTCTTTTCCCCAGCACAGTCACCAAATGGCTCACTGCAATCTAACAATTGTCTGTCAAAAATATATCCACTAAAAAAATACCCTACACAAGGAGAATGAGACTTGGATTTTTTTTTAAAGTATTACAAAAAAGGAGATGAAAAAGGAGAGTAAAAACAGTAGTAAGATGCAACTGTATATATTTGATCTTTCTATTTTTTCATGCTCATACAACGATGATCAGCAGAAATGAAGGTACATCTGTCCGTTTGGTTTGGCACACAGTTCCCCCAAATAACAATCCCTGAAAACTATCCAGTCAAATCAGGTGTATAAGATTTCAAACTCACACTGGCTTCAACCCGAAATTCACAGCAAGAATTGATAATACAGAAAATATGCTTCTGCAAATACAATAAAAAGCAATGCACATACTATTGAGAAATCTGTTTCTGCCCTTCCCTCTCTTTTTAGAAAATTGCACACCAATTAATATTAGGTGTCCCCAATTTACCATACCTTAATATCTTCTTTATCATGTACCTACTCAGCGAGAGCTCTTAAAACAGCCTATAAGAGTGAACATACTCTAAAACTACAAATGCTGCAAAAGAAGTACACATGCTTTTCATTTGGGCAAACAAAAAAGACCAGTTGTATTTTCCTTTCGAAACAGATGCTCCTAATTCATACAACTTTTGAAAGTTCAATTTCAGTGTTGGGATACATCACTTGTTTACAGCCTAATTTTGTCATTCTTTGCTGTTGGTGTCAATGTTCTTCCAGACTACAATGCAACAAGTGGGTAAACTGCAGTAGTTTCATATAAACAGCTACATACTCCCCATGAGACTAGATGAGATTGACCCAACCTCAAAGCCTATGGGTGGGTGTACACAAGCTCATCTAATGTATAAAGACATGGTGTACTCAGCACACATTCAAGTCATTTACACAAGGTTATAACTACTACCTTCAGCTTTTACCTTCTGAACTACAAATATGTGAATTCCATAATTGCATTGTATAACCGCTTCGTTCCATTTTGGTTTATAGCTCTCTCTCTATCTCTCTGAAGGACTGCCAGAACAAAAATGACTTCAGTTACATGCAGATGACAAAAGCCCTATAATATCCAATTGCAGTTACAGCGGAGTACATAGAGTGTAAGCAGCGATAGGATGGTTACAGCTCAGTTCAGAGGATTGTTTTGTTCAGCCCTGCTGTGTTGCTTCATATGGCAGGGGTGTTATATCACTGTTGGAGATCATGGCATTGATTTCCCATCTATTTCAACAAAATAGACAAATACAAGTTATGAAAATTACAAAATCAAATTATGACTTCCTTTTTTGGGGTACATACTGCTGTTTCATATGAACAATTTTTCAAATTGAAATTTATGGATATTTATTTATGAATAGTATCATCAGATTTGCTGATTAAATGTCAAGGTCATGATTGTTGCCTTGACTTTATAAGTAACACAATGTACTTAAGTGTACCACGCACCTATAAAAAATAATTAGTATACAGCAAGAATGTATAAAATCAACCCCAAAAAAATTTACCCATCGTTTTCTCTGGCCTAACACATATAAAGGAGTATGTATGTGATACAGAATTAACATAAATCTGCACATGGAACCAAAGTCAGAAGTGGGTTCAGGCAGATTCATGAGGGAGGCTTATCTTGTGGGGAACAAAGTATGGATTACTGTAAATGATTACCTTAGAGTCTTAGGAAGACATGTGGTATCAATCCTCTCATTAATGATGGACATCTGACACATTGTTTTCAATGAGGGATCTACGAGAGAGAGAGAGAGAGTTACAAAAATTCATTAAAAAAATGCATAAATAAAAATAATACTAATAACAGCAATAATTGTTCTGGATTTAGATAGTACTTGATAAGTCTTAATTGTCTGGAGGCGCTTTAAAGAACCATTATTATCAAGGTCATTGGATTCAGGCTTGCCTATGCACCTTCTCCACTCCCTAGGGCGCATTCTAGCCAGGAACCTTTTTAGAGAAGTTCATCAAACTGCACAAACTTTTACATCCTACCAGGTACCCATTAAACAACTGGTTGGAGAGAAGCAATATATATATAAAGTTTCTTGCTCAGGACATAAAAGCTGTGCCAATTAGGAACAAACCAACAATCTTTGTGTCTATAGTTGAGTGATTAAACCAATTGACAGCGATTGCTGGTCTCCACACTATGCAATTACATAGAGATACTTTTAATAATAGAAAAGAATCAATATTCATTCGTGCATCATCGGTCAAAGATTGTAAAATTTGGCCTTGCATCTATAACAAGCCAGCATTGATTTGATTGAGATTAACTTACCAAAATCAAGAATATGAAGGTCAGCTAGATCAATCAGGTTCTCTCCTATACTCCCACCAGGATTTTGTTTCTCTCTTGGACTGTCAACAACAACAAATAAAACATATAAGTTATTAGTTATTACACTCAGAATTTAATTTAATTTCTCCACTAAATGGAATCAAACAGTCTGTCCGAATAATTAAAAAAAATATAGACAATCCTGTGATAACTGATTGATAATATATTTTCCACAATATTTTTTCATCAACTTGTGGTATATGTTACCTGGTAAGAGCAATGCCATTTCACCCTAAGAAAACTATTTCTGCCGTGATCAAATTCAGAAATCTATCAAAGAAAAGGGACTGATTCAACATTTACAAACAGGACAAAAAATGTGTCAACATATATGCTATGTACTGTAGCTACCATGGACAACAAGGCAAGGAAGGAATTACCTGGTTCCCCCAAACATGAACATCCTATCTCCATGCATGACACAGCATTGACGCCTTCTCTTACAGGGAACCTTTCCTTTACAATGGAGCTTCTTCCATTCAAACGTTGACAAGTCTAGCTGGTGTACATCGTTGAAGTGTGTGTCAATGGTGTGGTTGAAGCCAGCAAACACGCTTAAATGGTTGTCATATAATACTATATAGAAAAAAAAGAGAAAACAATGAGAATTGCTCCAGGTTTAATACAGAAGTCCTCTAAGCAATATGAAAAACTGACAATGCTCTCACCTACTATATAAGTACAAGAAGGAATTTCATACACATCTTATAAATCAGGATCACTCAAACACATTTGCTGCTCAATACTCCTATTCCTGAATACTAAATACATGAACCAGCCGGATACTGTAGGCAACAGGTCATATTCATCCCTATCATGATACCACTACATAAGAGACAGATTAGCTGCAGTGTTAAATATTTAGGATGTAGGCTTCAGAATAAATTTGAAGCTTACCATCTACATCTAAACAATATTGTCCTTATTAAACAAAAACAGGCCACTTTTGCAAGTTCATCATTCAATGTGAAAGAGCCTTTTGAACAGCATTACACTGGATTTCCCTGGAATTCACATATGCACAGGGTAATACAGGGTAACAGAGCTTGAATATTCCAGATTTGTTTTCTTTTCGCTTTAAGGTATCCGTTTTCTTCACTTGAAGCACAAAAACAAATTGATGATGCAATATATTTTATAAATGAATTTTGCCAGGATCCAAACCCATAACTCCTCCACATTTACTCACCGGTTGAATGACTTCTCCTACCAATAGGTGGGGTACCTGTTGCTTTGGGTGATGTCCAATCAGAGTTCCTGATGTCAAACATTTTCAGCTCATTGCAGTAGAATTCTTGCCCGGTGTACCATGGACCTGATCTGTCTGAACGACCCCCAAACACAAAGATCTGATCCCCTACCGGTGTGGCAGTATGAAAGTCCCTCCAGTGAGGTATCTGCTTCTACAAGGGAGGATGTAACGAATGAGAGGATGCTTGAAAAGTCCTTTTGTCACTTCCCCTTGAACTAATTTTGATATTTAGTCGTTTCAAATCATGCAGTAAACCATCACCATGTACATATCAGACATTGAAAGTTACCTTTAACCCTAAAAAGGCCAGGCTATTTGAGGTCTTAGTACGGCCGGGGGGGGGGGGGGGCCATTATGGCCCCCCCTAAAGATCTCGGCCGTCAAACGGTCGATCTCTGTGAAAATTTGCATGCATGTCAAGTGAAGTGTATAGAATAATATGGCAATTTCAATTTTTTGAAAAATACACTTATTTGCATATTTATGGTAATTTATGCAAATAAGGTCATAAAATCACATTTTTACCCATAAATCATATATATTATTCATATTTAAGCATTCTTTTTCACTACATATATTCATTAGACCATTTGGAATAATAATATGACAAAAAAAATTGGAAGAGCCAGCTTATTCCTTATGTTATCTCTTGTTTTGAAAATTTCTTATGTATTTCATTGTTTTTTAACTTATGTATTTTATTGTTTTTGTTGTTTTATTTCATTCCTTACTACAATTCAACTATTAGGACTCCTAAAACAACCACCTAATTTTTAAACAAGACCCAATAATCATTGTTTGATCTTTTTTTAAGAAAAATGACATTTCTGTATGTTTTGTACACAAATCACAAAAATGAGCGATTTTTGTGATTTGTGACAAAGACAAAAGGCCACGTGACCTTGTAACTGTACGTCCGATTTTCAATTATTTTTTTTTTTTTGAAGATGCGCAAGACTCAAAAGAAAAAAGTCAGCGAGCAGGGGGGCGCCATCCGTATGCGTTCCCGAACAATCAGAAAAATTGTGGAGGGGGGCCATAATGCCCCCCCCCCCCCCCGGCCTTATTAGGGTTAACATTAAGAAAGATGTCTGATGAATACAGAGAAAGAAGTAAATATGCAAGTTACTTGATGAGGTTTTGTTTATGTCACAGAAACAAAAATTGTTTCACAAACCCTTTGCAGGGTGAGAAAACCTTGACTAAAACTGAGCATGGTTGTAATCACTATCTATTAAAGACAGACCATATTCTGTTCTGAACCTTATTCCTTTAAAAAAAATTAGACTTCCTTACTGCCTCATTTCACAGAGTAAAATCAATTGTTGGGATTGAAATCAATTGAACCAAGCTCTAAAGGGACAACACTAAAAAGAAGTACAAAATCATCAGGAGCCCCAGGAGGGTCAAATTTGACTGACATGAGTGCTATACAAGAACCTGTTATTATTATTATTATTATTGTTATTATTAGAAAGTAAAGTAAAATGTAGACTGACTTACTCTTGGATCTAATAATGTCCATTTCATGTCCCTAAAATCCAGAGCAAATGTGAGGTTGGAGTAACTCTGAAGCTGGAGAAACCAATCAAGACAAAGATACAACCAAAATAGTTTAATATTAGCAACATGCAATGGTATACAAAATGTAGTATAGAAAGTATGGCTACCAGTAAATAATTGTTAAAAGGAGTGCACAAGGTTACAATATTCGAAATTCAGAAAACATCTGGCATTTAAAGGTTCACATCATACATGTATACCGCAAAACTATTTTCCATATCATTGTTTCACAAGCAGTTATTTTTTCTGACATTAAAGCACTACCAGCATATCCAAATTGTGCCAAAACAATAACTAATAATTTACATTTAACCTGTAACGCTGTAATAGTATGGATTTAAGAATATATATAGCTCAAAACGTACAAAATTAAATAAATGAACAATGTTGAAACAAAATAATAATAACTGCATAATTGTTCATTCTGTTAACCTGCAGTCTTATGTATATGTCTAGATTAACATATTTTATCAAGAATGAGAAATAGATTTAATTTATCTAAATAGCATTGACATAGATAGCAGCACATGTATTACATACCAAGTCTATGAATCCACCAAAGACATACATCCTGTGTCCAATAACACATGCTGAATGTCCATCTGTAGCATCAGGTAGCTGACCTGTAGGTGTCTCAAGGGTCCAGCGATTAGTTTCTGGAAGGTCAAATAAGGTACATAGATTCTGCAGTGTGACCATCACCAAACAATGACATATAATGATAATAATAATAACAATAATAACGATAATAATAACACTAATACTACTAATAATAATAATAACAAAATGATAATAATAACAATAAAAATAATAATAATAAATTCATATCATATGATCATAACAAATTATAAGAATTCATGTACCGTACATTCAACAGTCAATTTCTAGCTCTGGATAGCACTAGAAGTAACCCGGTATTAAGTAGAGAACAGATTATTTTTTTAAAGGGCACATAAAAAATCTCAATTTTCAAATAACAAATTCTAAAAGAGCTCTTGCCGACCAACTAAGTATTTTTTTTAATGCTGCCATATAATATACTGCACCAAAGTTGAAGGTAGATAGTGATAACTTACTGGTATCAAAGCTGTAGAGTTTATTGTCTGCACCGGATGTATCATTTCTGCCACCCCAGAGGTAGATCTTATCGTTGTAAACCACTACAGAGTGACCATACCTCTGGAAAGGGATGTGTCTTGGGCATTCATTGGGACCATTGGAGTGGGACAGTTTAGACCATTTTAATCTTCCTGTAGTAGAAAAAAAAGAGGGGTTAAATACCAAAATATTCAAAAAGTTAGTGAACTTAAAGTACATGTGTTTGTTCAATTGATTGATTGATGTTCATTTGGTTTCCATATACATGGTCACATTCTACGAAACAAAAGAGAGAATCATGTGTAAATCCAAATTCATGTTTTCACAATTATTGATGCAGCACAAAATGCATATTCTCTTTGCCATATAACATGTGCAATATTATAGCATGTACTTTACTTTATTGTATAATAAAAGAAACTAAGAAACACAGAGAGAATTCAATTAGAGATAAAGAGAGAAAGAAAGAAAGAATGAATGAATAAATCATGAAAGAAATTTACTGTAGATGACAAATGAATTAGATATATCACCAAAACATGCAAGAGTGCTCAAGAAAAACAGACACAGTGTACATGTATGTATAATATACTTTAGAGAAATACTAAGGGAAAGTTAAGTCCCAGTACCGGTAAGAAACTTTTTTAAAAACTTACCAATACTGAATACAAATGAATCAATTGGGTTCTTGCGCTCATAGTCTCCTCCTGTACAATAACCTCCAAAAGAATAGATCAGATCACCTACATTGACTGCAGCATGGTTGACCCTTCTTGGTCCACCATCTGTATGCACAATCCACTGTGCCATCACATGAGAAAGGATCACCTGTCTTCAACTGCTTGTTGCTGAAGGATTCTACAGTAAAAAAAGACAATGAAACGATGCATCACATAAATTATATGTTGGCAGAATGAATAGTCCCTACGTTGGTTTGTACAGTAATATTCCTATTAGCTGTTTCATAGCCGAATTACTTTGTACCTAAATAATCTGCATAAAACATATCTGCCACAGAGACAGAGAGGAATTGAAACAAGTTGTGTTAATGATCTAGAGGTACAGTGTACAATGTACTAGAAGTCTACATTCATTGTATTCTAAAAGTAAACATTGTGTACTTCCAGGCCAAGGCAAACTACACATTCATACTGACAGTCACTGTACACACATTTTCAATGCTGAATAGAGTCAGTTTCTTTCAGGAAGATAAACACAATTAATGGAAGGTCAAAAAGTCAATAGGTCAAAAAAACAAAAAAGGATTGTCACTCAGTACAAATTCTATGGTCCACGGGGGTGCTTGTCCAGGGGGTAATTGTCCTCATACGCACAAAAATGCTTCAATTAAATCTGAATATACATTGGCCTACATTGTACATGATCAAATTACATTTTGCAAAGATAACCCTGTACATTTACAAGGCTACTACACAAGGCTAGCATACTGATGTGGTATCCTTGACATATTGGCATTCACATCTTATGACTTGCCCTACTTAACATATTATTACCCTTTGTCACTATATACAGAGAAAACAGATTAACAGGTACATGTACATGTTCATGCAGGTTTCATATTTAATACAAATTGACACGGACTATCCTTGATCGTTTATGCCTAATGGCCGACAATTGTTATCTCATTAGGATGTTTACTGCTGCAAATATGTTGACTCCCAGTATAATAGGAAGTTGATGGTAAAATTCATAGTGGGAACTATGTTGAATTTATGTCTTCATATCTATCAATATACAGTGTAATGTTAGGCTACTAGCCATTTGGCCATATTTCCATTGGGCCTGATCCAATCAGTCTACATGTACTTCCCATTTGGTCTATTGTTCATATGGTCTAATAATGAAATAGTATAATTTGCATTTTGTCTTATAAATGCCCATTTTGTCTACTACCAAACCATTAAATCATAAAAATTAACAATCATTACATGATTATTAGACTACGGTATAGGAAGTATATGTTGAATGTATATCTTCACAAGTTCACATCTATATATTTAGGCTAATAAGCCATTTGGCCTGATATCTAATTAGTCTATTACCTATTCGGTCTATTGTTCATTTGGTGAATGAATTAGTCTAATTTGCAGTTGGTCTACTGTCCATATAATAATAATCATTTAATCATAAATATTAATAATCATGTACACATGATTATTAGACCTTACGGATAGTAGACGGGATGGGTATAGACCATATGGAAATGAAACTATTGGAAAGTAAATGAACTGGTTGTAGACAAAACAGCAATAAACAGCCCACATTATCCTATACATGTACAAAATTAAAATTATCTTTTGAAAATACATGTCAAAGGATTAGTACAACTTGATGGAGAGAAAAATTATAAAGATTGCAACAATGGCATGGAATTCCACTACAGTATTGTGATGTCTTATTATTGTAAGGTTATTCATACCACAAAATGGCTCATATTCTGGTAATGACATAAAAATATGTTCTCACACAATAATATTAAACTGAGTATTTGAGACTCCAAGCATATCAATGACTTCAGTAGAAAAAGTACAGGAAAAGGATGATGGGGAAATTGAGCAACATGTATTCATCCTAACCATGTGCATATAAAAAGGCTTGGTCTCCTATAAGTTATGAATTTCAGAGTATGTGCTTTCCAGCAATAATTTTGTTAGTTAGGCAACATTTGATGATTTAATTATTAATATTGCAGAACTGCTTCAATTTAGTTCAATACTCTCCCCCAACAAATTTGATCACCAAAACTCAACACTTATTTTGTCCTGATCATGTTTTGAAAACTTTCTTGGACTTTATTCTTCCATTCTACCTAAAATTGGTGTATACTATAATCAAATGATTTCAAATCACTTTCATAATTCCTTATTCACAGTTCACACAATGTGGTATGCCGCCATGACAAGATAAAAACCAGTTTACATGCATTGCAATAAATAGCAAGTGGGATTAATTAAACCAACAAGAAAGGAAGCTGTGCAACAAAACATATACAATGTATGTACTAGATACAGAAATGTGAACACACACTTCCCTTTAAACCTCAGTCACACTGCCAAACTGACTAAATCTTTGTCATTTCACTGTAATGTATCATTATGTTAGGTCTGTAGTCAGTCCATGTCTGTCTTATTGGTGGGACTGAGGTATCTGAAAACATCATTTTATTTGCCAGGAGAGGTGAGGGTAATTATCACAAGCTACACAAGTGTATGAAAATACATGAAGATCAAGACCATAAACAAAACAGTCAGAGTGGGAATGTGACGATAGTGGAAGTAGTTGACCTCTAGGTTAAAGAGGTAATGACGCAAGAATAATCAGCAAAATTAGGGGGAAATACTGAACGTGCCAGTAACAAATTAGGAATTTACTCCTTCAAAACTTGTACCTATTTTTATGAAATTAAAGGAACAAAACAACTCTCCATTACCAAATACAATTACTCTCACAATGGTGACTGTCAATTATATTTTATAGCTTTGTTTAAATCAAAATCTATTTCATCTATTCTTCTTCTTCTTTTTCTTCTCCTTTCGTAGATGTAGCTTTCCTCCTCCAACCTAGATAGTTTGTGTCTTAAGGGTAGGGTGCATGTGATATTATATGCCAATAATTCAAAATGTACAAGTGACATGACAACCGCCTTTGATATATTCTAGCTGTTGTACCCTATCGTGACTTCATCAGTTGGAGGCGAAAGGCTTCAACAGAAGAGGCCGACACAACATTGAATATTTGAATGGGACTATGGGAGGGTGTTCCTTCTTACAGTTAATGATTAATCAGAACCAATTTTGTAGTCAATGATATCCTTGTTTCAGTTTCATGCCTCAACTTGAACTTCCATCATCATCAGGTAAAATACACTTCTTCTTCTTGATCAGCTCAGTTGATTTAATATAAAAACTGATAAGATGACTTTTGTGTAACTTCTTAGCTTACCAGCCCCCCCCCCCCCCCCCCCCCCCCGCTCGCCCATCATCATAAAATCCCACACACAGCTAGCGCTAGATGCAGTGCGATTCCTAGACCGAATTTTCCGTCTCTTTCGTTCGTTAGCCTCTTATTGGGGTAGGGTCGGCCGGCTCTCTCTTTAGAGACGGAAGCCGTTTATACACATGTCCTTGCTAACGCCACGGCCAGTCCTGGTCGTAGCGTTTTGCCCCAAAAATCCCCGAAAATGTCATTTTACCTCGAGCATGTTATATTGTAAATTAGGCCTAGGCTATAATAAATCAGTTCCACTTACCAACTTGACTGACATAATCAGTTTAATAGTCCCTTTTTAGGAAATTATGGGTCAAAATCGAAATCCATTTTGAAAATCTTTTTCAACATGGATTCCGATTTTGACCCATAATTTCCTAAAAAGGGACTATTAAACTGATTATTTCAGTCAAGTTGGTAAGTGGAACTGATTTATTATAGCCTAGGCCTAATTTACAATATAACATGCTCGAGGTAAAATGACATTTTGGGGGATTTTGGGGGCAAAACGCTACGACCAGGACTGGCCGTGGCGTTAGCAAGGACATGTGTATAAACGGCTTCCGTCTCTAAAGAGAGAGCCGACCCTACCCCAATAAGAGGCTAACGAACGAAAGAGACGGAAAATTCGGTCTATGCGATTCCCAGACGACAGAGACTTGTCTTTATTACTCTGCACTGTTCAGTTTTGTATGCTTGTACAGGTACACAATAGTCAATGTATGGGACACGTATTGACAGGCGATATCAATGTAGTCGTGAATGAATTTCGAGTTTCTATTCAAAATAGCCCTTTCCACTGACCAAAAATGAGGTGAAAGTTAGCAGTGAAATAGATTATTTCTTAATTTGACAAAGAATGACAAAATTAAACTTACAAATACCACAAACAGCTGTATTTCCCTGGGCGCTTTGGTGATATTCGTTGACGTCGGTTTTCCGTTATTCGTCACGTACGTCGCACATCGCGATTCCTCTTACGCAATAATCAATCGACGTAACCGGGTAAACTTTGCTTGAACGAAGCCCGACTAGAATGCTAAAGCAATTAATATTCTAGAAAATAAAGCGTGCAAGAAAGATACTCTTGTCTTGATATGTATTATAAGGATTGTGGTATGTTTCATCTGTTGTGCCTCAAGCTATAGGCCTACATTTGTAGGTCTATAGTTTATTCAAATTTACATCGCCTACTGCGCTACCTATACCCCCTCCCCTCATTCTCGATCCCCTGATATGCATGGTTTCAATATTGACAGAATAACAGAAATATGTTCTTTGACGAAAATGGATTAGTTTGATCAGCAACGTAATCTACTAATGCATGCATGAAGCCCGATACATTTTAATGACGTCATAGAATACAATACAAAACAAACTAAACAGACGACCAATAAACAAAACTCAGGGTCGGTGGCCTTGAAGATGTGCAAACCCAGGGGCGTACACGGGGGGGGGGGGGGGGGGGAGTTAGGGGTTGAACCCCCCTTGATATTTTTATGTGTGTAAACCCCCATGACTGACCTAAAAAAAAGGTGACCTTACCCCCCCCCCCCCCAGCTTTAGCCCTGATCAAAGCATTCAAGGAATTCCTATTCCAGTTATCCATTTACTATACACCTGGATGGAGAGTGGTAAATGTGTACATCAATGGCTTACCAAAGGGCATTATCACCATCATCATTATTATTATTATTAGGCCTATTGGGTTTTTTTTTGGTTTTTTTTCCTTTTTGTTGAAAATCATTATCATTAACATCACTATTTTCATTATTGTTATCATTTCATTCCTGTATTATTGATGGTGTTTCGAAATGCATTTTAGTCCAATTGTGGAATAATCGGTACAACTCATAATGAGAATATTTCTCTCTCTTTTTTTTCTTCTTCTCTCTCTCTCTCTCTCTCTCTCTCTCTCTCTTCTCTATCCAAGTTTCAAGTTTTAAGTTTCAAGTTTTATTTATCTTTTTTCTTTCTTTCTATCCTTCTCTCTTCTCTCTCTCCTTCATTCTCTCTACTCTCATCTCTCTCTCTCTCTCTCTCTCTCTCTCTCTTTTCCCTGCCACTTTTATCCTTTCCCATTTACCACTTTATTACATAAATTATAGAATGACACTAACTTTTAAATATTTCCTAATTTTAGTACTTGCTCAATTTAATCTAATAATGAGGACATTGTTCTATATCAATTTTATTATTATTCTACATATTAGATCTAAATTACTCACACGGTCCTTTTGAAAAACAGTCGTTCAGGCTGAATGTTAATCTCATCGTATACAATAAATGAATGTGATTCCATCTCCTTGAAAATCACGTACAAAACAAATAATTATTGAGCAATACAATCATGATTCAGCAAGACATTGAAGATCAGCATTATGATGACGTTCTTCCATCAACAGCACGCAAGACCTGTTGAATGCAAAACCCAAAATACGCATGTGCGTCAATTATTATCGAACTTAGTTTCTATAGTTACATAGAAGTCTATGAGTTTTGTAGGACTCGAGGAAAGAAAACATTTTACAAACAATACAGGTTTGATAATATAATCAATTTTTTTTTTTTTAATTCCTTGGTTTAATTGGAATTTTATTCCAATTGAACCAATAAAATTCGGCCCTTCATGAATGATGGAATAACATTTCTTAGCAAAGCCCCCCCCCCCCGAAACTTAATTTCTTGGATTTCGTTTTTTTTTTCTTCACATTTGTAATTCAGGTCGTTGTCCATTCGCCCCCGCCCCTCCCTCTTTCCCGATCGGTCAATGTAGGCCCACAAATTTCAAGTAAATTCAACTTAAATGCGTGAAGCATGCCTAAATATTACGACCATAAGGACCCACCCAAAACTAACCCGCTTTTCCTTTATCAATTTATCAAGAAACACTGCTGAACGATGCACACTTAGCCTAAGTGTGCATCGTTCAGCAGTGTTTCTTGATAAATTGATAAAGGAAAAGCGGGTTAGTTTTAATTATATTCCACCCTAATAGGGTGGAATATAATCTCGCTTGGATGAAGCCATTCAGGTAGACAATTAAAAGGCGAAAGGAATCTAGTGTGTTCAGGCCATGGCTGTTCGTTTTTTATTTTTTACTTTCCGTCAAATCTTGACATGGGAAAAATCTAACGTTCTCAAACAAATTACAAAGGGTGGTTTTCTTTTCTTGCTTTCAGTCACCATTCCTAAGATCTGAACCTTTTTCACCACTTTAACAAAAGAACTGCTAGACTGTAATAACAATTATTGATAAGTTCTGAAGCCATTATTTTCTAATTTTCTTTGCATTTTCTTTGTTTGTACTCAATTTTATTCGTGTCATACTGAGTTTCCTTTTTCTTTAATATCTTAAAAAGGCGCTTTATAAAAGAAAGGTATAAGTTCATTCTGTTCCATCTTAAAGAAACCAGGTGTTCATCAGAAGTCGGATGGCCATGGACAGGTTGGTGCCAATTCCAACAAAGTAACAAAGAGCCCTGGACGGTTGGGGCAGGGGTATCAGGTATGCTATGCTGTGTAAGAATCTGGAAGCGACAAAGATACGATAATGCCAGAGGATCGTGCTGAGAGGAGAGCCAGAGAAGACGGCGAAGAGTCCCCCGATGATGAAGAAGGGTACGATATTCTCAAGGTCATTCAGGCTGCATCTGAAGAATTGAAGATGGAGAAAAGAGGTTAGAAAGAAATGTCGTCATTAACTTATAGGATAAAGTCAATGACCAAATGAACATCAATAATGAACCTGTTTTCAGATACCTGTATCGGGTAATTATCAGGCCTGAGATAAGTCCCAATTTAAGACGTACATATTCAAATCTTCTTTGATCAATATACACGTCTATATAAAAACACAAATACTTGTGTAATATGTCTCCTCATAAGGAGTCAATGGCTTCACAAATCTTTCTTTACCTTCGTATACGCTCTATCATGGGGTGATTGAAAACTGGTCGTCGATCTTTCAAACCAGTGAGAACGAAATCCTCCTCGTTCGCATATGCCTAAAATGTGAATGCAAAGAACATAAATATTATGACTATAAATTATGGGTAAATCATGCATTATATAAAGCTAAGAAATCTGAAAAAATCGATGAAAAATCGATTCAGAAATTGAGAATTGAGGAAATGGCATGTTTTAGGATGATAACAACTGTTTAAAGGTAATACAAAGTTTTGGGAAATTTTGAAAATTGGGTGGATAGTGAATCTTTACAAGTTTGATATATTTGGATGCCCCTGTGGATGTATTATAAGCACTAAAAAAATTAGCCCCTAAAACACTTCTGTTTTCGAGAAAAATTGAATATACAAATTTACCGGTGCTCCCGGTAAATTTTGATAAATTTCAAATGGCGCCTATGGCCGTACAATGGTAGCTGCAACCATGAAAATCTCAGAATATGTAGTTGGGATATACAATTTCCAAACGGAAATAGCTAATCGGTCGATTTTAATCAAGAAACATTGTTTCATAGCTAAATTAATATCTTGACCCTGAGAGGGAGCTATACAACATAAAGAGTTTATTATTTATAATTTCATAACTTTAGACTCGATTTTAACCGCGACAACGATTAATGTATATTGTAGGAACGCATATGCTTCCAATATGTTAATTTGAACCAAATTCATGACCCCATACCAAAACTTTGTAATACCTTTAAGAGACACTTTACGAATAATCAATCTTGCAAAATGCCGTTCTCATTACACTTCATAATCACGTTGTTTGCAAATGGAATAATGAGAGAAAACATAATATATCACACTAATACATCAGTAAAAGCTTCAATATTTGTATTTAGCTAGCCTAAGAACTCGAGGAAATATGAAATCAACCTCAGTCTCAAATTATGACTCAGAATGTGACTGCTTATTAAAAATTTAAACTAATTTCGATTCTATTTCCTTGATTAAAAAATAACTAGTTTTACTGCAAGTTGCATTTCTTGTCATCAAAATGGGAACTCAATGGCTTCGGTAACAAGCCTATAGATTTTAACAAAATAGAGTCTAGTCAACTCAATAATATGAGCAAGGTTGCTGAATATACCATATTACAATTCTACCGATCGAGAGGGCATACATTTATTATCTGGACGGAACATTGATTCACCACCGGCAGAACAAGGAAATGTTACAGCAGGCCCCTGGGAACGATTTTTTCACCGGGGGTGCTCAGGGTCCTGGGAACAATTTTTTCACCGAAGCCGCTGAGATATATATATTGCGAAATTTTCGCAACGACTCAGCCAGCCGTTGAATAAGCGGGGGGGGGGGGGGGGGGGGGGGGGGGGGTAGGAGGTCATTTTTTTTTCTCGCAAAATATCTCCATAATTTGAAAATTTGGTCGATCGGGGTGGGGTAAGGTCTGTCATTTTTGGTCACCAATTACCACAATTTCTTTATTTTTAAATAAAAAAAATTAAAAAAAAAGCTTCGAGGGGTAATTGTATATGATTTTGGGAAAGAAACGTTATAATTTCGTATATATACAGTTAATATATCATACCGAAAAAATTTGCAGGGGGTGCTGCAGCACCCCCAACACCCCCGCTTCCCAGGGCCATGTGTTACAGAGATTCCCAGCAGCATGAGTACAATGATTATACAAATGATCACATAGATTACCAGTTAATAAAGGCAGATTTTATGCCAATGTAGTACAAGATTTGCAGTGCCCACTTTGTCCATTAATAGATATTGGTGATGAATTTCTTTTTGTATGTACATTCTTTCAAAATGAGAGAAACTATACTTGTGTGGTAGTAGCCTAACATCAAGTGCGTTAAGGTTAAGGTTTTTAATACAGCTAAAGAAATTAGCCAAATTTGTTAGAATAATCATTTCACATTTTCTAAAGATCGGGTTTAAGGATGAATGGTAATACTGTAAATGATATAGTTCACAAGTAAGCAATGTTATTATGAATACTCGTAGCAGTATAGGACTCATCCGTGCAGGAGGGTGAATTGCCAAGTTCGCCTTAATTGATTTGTAAATAAGTTTATTTGTTCATATTATTACATGTTTATCATTGTTCATAATACCACATGTTTATTATTGTTCATAATTATTATCGCATGTTTATTTTTGTTCATATTATCATATGTTTATCATTGTTATACTATCCCTGTTATATTGATACTATGTATATTTTTGTACTCTCATAACTGATTATGCGCCAAGAGGGGGTCGATAGAGAGTCAATACAATCTTACAAAAATGCACGCTCTGACTTTGAAAAATTGACATTACCGAGTCTCTTGTCCGATAGAATCCAGTCAGTGGTCCAAGCATCATCATCTTGACGGTAACCAGCCCTGCATAGGTGGCAAAGTATTTCAGTGCTTCTTCGGAGTTCGACATCGTTTATCGTTGAGAGTTACAACCACCGACCCTGTGTGAATATATGACTTGTATAGGATGTGAATGTATGACTTGTATAGGATAGTACGAGAGCACTGGAGCTCAATACCAGAAATGAGACTAGCCAACGGGAACGTGAACGGGGTCAGTATACGGGTCAGGATACTATACTATTGCTTGTAACGGTGATCAACACAATACTCTCTGCAGAAATGAACTTTGATCAGTACGCCCTAAATCCTGTTAGTCGGGATTTTTAGGTTGAGTGGACGAGAACACGACGAACGCCGACTGATCATGCGTGTCAACGTACTCAGCTGCCCATGTTGACTACAATTAGAAATCTTTTAGATTGCACTCGATGATATACATGCATGCAGGAAGTAACACTATGAATATGATGGACAAAGACAGAGGACAAAATATACAGTTCCTCATTCTACCCTCAACAATTGCTGTGGTAGACAAAAGAACATCCCTTCACTGCTATTATGTAAAAATGTGTAGATCAGGTGAATAGGCATGTGACACCTGTTCTACACATGTTTACATAATAGCAGGGAAGGGATGTTCCTTTGTCTACCTGAGGAACTGTATATTTTATGCGCACGCGGCATATACTAGTACCGTACTAGATTTAGGAAAATCAAGGTTGACGCATTCTCGATCGCCGACTGAGACGACGTGACGCATGCGCAGTGCCTTAAAATGACGTCAAACGTTGCAGTCAAAGCTGTCGACGTGCAAATCTAAAAGTCCCTATTGTCTCGTTTTCAAAAGTGGATTTGAATGCTAACCCTCAGTGACTCTTTTCTATTTGACTAGCACATTTCTTTTGAAATTAATGACACAAAGCTCAGTTCGCACTACAGCCTTTTGACAAGGCCTCGTGACTCGGGCTAATTTCCACGCCAATCAGCGGCTGAGATGAGTCTAGCCCGGGCTGGCGACGAAGAGGAGATCTAGGGTGCGTTCAATCGAATTTTCGAAGCTAGAATCACAAACATGAATCACAAATCAAAACGCCGTTACAAAAAACAAGGTCATTGCGGTTAGCGTTCAAGCGATTTTTCATCAACACTGATTCTAGCTCATTTCGAGCCCAGCCACTGCGCATCACCCTCGCAGTTTGACCCAGGAAGTATAGGTCAACTTCGGCGCGCGCTTTTTGGAATTGTTTACGGCCGACTGTCGACTGCTGTTTTGAGCATAGATCGCAATAATAAAACAAAGAATGAGAAGGTGATGGAAGGAAGAAACAAAAAATAATATAAGGAAAGACAAAAAGAGAAAGTGATAGAGTTATTAAAACAAAGAATAACGTAAGAGAAGGTGATATAAGGAAGAAACAAAGAATGACATAAGAAAAGGCAGAAAGAGAAAGTGATAGAATGCTTAAAACAAGGAATTACATAAGAAAAGGTAATAGAAGTAAATAACAAAGAATAACATAAGAATAGAAGGAAGAAACAAAGAATAACAAAAGAGAAAGTGATAGAATAATTATAAAAACAAAGAATAACATGATGAAAGACAAAAAGAGAATGTAATGCAAGGAAGAAACAAAGAATAACATAAGGAAAGACAGAAAGAGAAAGTGATAGAATGATTAAAACAAAGAATAACATAAGAGAAAGGGATAGAATGATAAAAACAAAGAATAACATAAGAGAAGGTGATAGAAGGAAAAACAAAGAATAACATAAGAATAAAAGGAAGAAACAAAGAATAACATAAGGAAAGACAGAAAGAGAAAGTGATAGAATGATTAAAACAAAGAAGAACATACGAGAATGTGAGTGAAGGGAAAAAACAAAGATTAACGTAAGAATCGAAGGAAGAAACAAAGAATAACAAAAGAGAAAGTGATAGAATTATAAAAACAAAGAATAACATAAGACAAGGTGATAGAAGGATAACATAAGGAAAGACAGAAAGAGAAAGTGATAGAATGATTAAAACAAAGAAGAACATACGAGAATGTGAGTGAAGGGAAAAAACAAAGATTAACATAAGAATAAAAGGAAGAAACAAAGAATGACATAAGGAAAGACAGAAAGAGAAAGTGATAGAATGAAAAACAAAGAATAACATCAGAATAAAAGGAAGAAACAAAGAATAACATAAGGAAAGACAGAAAGAGAAAGTGATAGAATGATTAAAACAAAGAAGAACATAAGAGAATGTGAGTGAAGGGAAAAAACAAAGATTAACATAAGAATAGAAGGAAGAAACAAAGAATAACAAAAGAGAAAGTGATAGAATTATAAAAACAAAGAATAACATAAGAATAAAAGGAAGAAACAAAGAATGACATAAGGAAAGACAGAAAGAGAAAGTGATAGAATGATTAAAACAAAGAAGAACATAAGAAAAGCTGATAGAAGGAAAAGAACAAAGATTAACATAAGAATAGAAAGAAGAAACAGAGAATAACAGAAGAGAAAGTGATAGAATTATAAAAATAAAGAATAACATAAGGGAAGGTGATAGAGGGAAAAAAACAAAGATTAACATAAGAATAGAAAGAAGAAACAGAGAATAACAGAAGAGAAAGTGATAGAATTATAAAAATAAAGAATAACATAAGGGAAGGTGATAGAAGGAAAAAAACAAAGAATAACATAAGAATAGAAGGAAGAAACAAAGAATAGCATAAGGAAAGACAGAAAGAGAAAAAGAGGAAAACAGGGTATAACATAACGGAACAGGCCACGATAAAGAGCATGGTATAGTAAACGCAAATTGCATGAAAAGCAGGCGCGCGGTTTTTGTCCAAACCGGAACAGGCTCCGTCATACAATCATGATTGAAAACTCCGTCCGTTCAATCGAATTTTAGCGACCGTGATTCTGCAGAATCATGATACAAAACGCATCTTTTTCAGCGTTTCATGTTTGTGTTTTCAAACACGTTTATTTTTACGACCGACGAAAAAATCGCTTGAACGCATTGCGTTTTAAACTAAACGTCTTTAGAAACCGTGATTCTAGGGTGAAAAAGTGTCGATTAAACGCACCCCTAGAGACCCGGGGTGAACAACTGAATCCACAGATCCCTCAGGGAGGTGAGACTATAAACCCTGGATCCCTGAAGTAAAATGTAAACTTGAAGTCAAACCCTGCATGCTCCGGAATGGCGACATCGAAACACGGCGTGATGTGAATTAATATGGATCCGCCACTCTACAGCTTATAAGCCCTAACTTACATATTGATAAATAGCCCTAAGAACAAATCTTTTTTATATTCGCTTCACTTTCACTTAAAGAACACATTTTATGTGCATCAAAGCCAACAACAATAATCATGGTTTTAAACTGGCCGAACTGGACAAAAAATATTGCTTTCTTTTTGTATCGGGCTTTCCCTCCAAAACATTTAAATCAATTGCTGTAAAACTATGTTGATAGAGTTTCTCATCATATCCGACTTTATTTGATTTATGGGGTCAGTGAATATAGTAGGCCTATTCTATTTGCTTGTCTCTCTCTGGCTCTCCCCTAACTCTTTCTCCTTTTGACCCCTTTCCTCTCCGTCCCTCCGTCTCGCTCTCTCTCTCTCTCTCTCTCTCTCTTTCTCTCTCCTCTTTTCTCTGTTTTTCTCTCTCATCTTCTCTCTCTCTTTCTCTTTCTCTCTCGCTGTCATTATCCCTCCTCTCTTCTCCTCTCCTCTCTCTCTCCTTCATTCTCTCTATTCTCTCCTCTCTCTCTCTCTCTCTCTCCCTCTCTCTCTCCCTCTCTCTCCCTCCTGCCACGTTTTATCCTCTTACTCCGTATTTACCACTCTATTACAATAACTTTTAAAATACTTGCTCATTTTAGTACTTTCTCAATTTAATCTAGAACGAGTACATTGTTCAAAATACGAATGTGCATCAATTATTATTGAACTTAGTTTCTATAGTTACATAGAATTCTATGAGTTTTGTAGGACTCGAGGAAAGAAAACAATTTACAAACAATACAGGTTTAATAGTATCCTAATTATTAAAAAAAAAATCCTTGGTTTAATTGGAATTTTATTCCAACTGTACCAATAACATTCGGCTCTTCATTCATGTTAGAATAACATTTCTTAGCAAAGTGGAGGGGGTGGTTCCCGACCCCCCGGAACATAATTTCTAGGTATTCCTTTTTCTTTCTTTCACATTTTTAATTCAGATTGTTGTCCATTCGCACCCCCCCCCCTCTTTCCCGACCGGTCAATGTAGGCCTTACAAGTAAAATCAACTTTAATGCGTGAAGCGTATCTAAATATTACGACCACAATGCATCATTGGAACCCATCTGAAAATATCCTGAATCTTTACCATCTTTATCATGTGACACATCGATGTGAATGGATCTAACTAACTTGCCTTCCCGTTAGTAAGAAACACTGCTGAACGAACTAGGAGCTGCAATGTGTCTTTAATTTGATCAATCATAATCTCACTTGGATGAAACCATTCAGGTAGACAATTCAAAAGGGAAAGGAATCCAATGCGTTCAGGGCTGAAGGCCGTGGCTGTTTGTTTTTATTTTTTCCCTCGAATCTTGACAGAGCAAAAATCAAACCTTTCTCAAACAAAATTGATTACAAAGGGTGATTTTCTTTTCCTGCCATGATTATTATCGTATGGCTTTTTCAGTCACCATTCCTAATAACTGAAACTTCTTTACCCCTTGAACTTAAGAACTGCCAAACATTTATAAGATTATTTTAATAAGTTCTGAATAATAATTTTCTATTTGTCTTCGCATTGTTTTTCGTTGTACTCAATATTATTCATGCCGTGTGTGTAATTGGGTTTTTACAGACGTGTATCAATCCGACATGATTATTTACGTCTGGGGACCGACTTTTAACGTCACCATCCGGCATCCGAAAGACGTGACTCAGTTTCGAACCTGCGTCCTCGGCTGAATCAGTTTGTAACTTCCATTGTTAGCTGGATTACAGGCACACGCCACAACGCCTAGTTATATTATTCATGCCATACTGCGTTTCCTTAATGCGTTTTTTTTATATCTTAAAAGATGCTTTATAAAATAAAGGTAGTATTACGTTTTATAAGATGATGACGTGGACGTAATCAAATGATTGGTTGAAAGCGTACACGTGACATTTATTTTGCCTCATTTTGCGTAATTTGGATAATGACCGGATGACCGGTCATTATCAAAATCATGTTATAAAACTTAATTTTATAAAACAAATAAATCATAATCTTATAAGCAATACACATCATTTTTGTTTGGGCATTAGGAAAATTACCCACACTTGGTACCATGAAAACAATCCAAACGCCCTCGGCTATCGCCTTGGGCGTGTTAGACTTTTTAAAAGGCACCTCGTGTGGGTAATTCTTACAAATGCCCTCACTGTTGTGTATTATTTGTATACTGTTCCATCTTAAAGAAGCCAGGCGTTCATCAGAAGTCGGATGGCCATGGACAGGTTGGTGCCAATTCCAACAAAGTAACACAGAGCCCTGGACGGCTGGGGCAGGGGTATCAGATATGATATGCTGTGTAAGAACCTGGAAGCGACAAAGATACGGTAATGCCAGAGGATCGTGCTGAGAGAAGAGCCAGAGTAGACGGCGAAGAGTCCCCCGATGATGACGAAGGGTACGATATTCTCAAGGTCATTCAGACTGCATCTGAAGAATTGAAGATGGAGGAAAGAGGTTAGAAAGAAATGTCGTCATTAACTTAAAGGATAAAGTCAATGACAAAATGAGCATCAATAATGAACCTGTTATAAGATAGCTGTATCGGCCTTAGGTAATTGTCAGGCCTGAGATAAGTTCCAAGACGTGCATATTCAAATCTTATCTGATCAATATACACGTCTATATAAAAACACAAATAATTGTGATTATGTAATAATCTCCTCAAAAGGAGTCAGTGACTTCACAAATCTTTCTTTACCTTCGTATACGCTCTATCATGGGGTGATCGAAAACTGGACGTCGACCTTTCAAACCGGTGAGAACGAAATCCTCCTCGTTCGCAAAAGCCTAAAAGGTGAGTGCAAAAAACAAGACTAAAATATGCATTATGTAAAGCTAAGAAATGTGAAAGATCTATTCAGAAATTGACAATTGAGGAAATGGCATGTTTAAAGGATGATAACAACAGTACTGTTTAAGAGGCATTTTACGATTAGTCAATCTTGCAAAATGCTGTTAAAGATTTTTTTCTCATTACGCTTTATAGAACGTTGTTTGCAAATGGAATAATGAGAGAAAACATAATATACCATTATTATCGGTAAAAGTTTCAATTTTTTTGTATTTAGCTAGCCTAAGAACTCAAGGAAATACAAAATCAACCTCAGTCTCAAATTATAACTCGGATCATGTGACTGCTTATTAAAAGTCAAATTAATTTCGATTCAATTTGCTTAATACAAAAATAACCAGTTTTACCAAGTGGCATTTCTTGACACCAACATGGGAACTCAGTGGGTTCTGTAATAAACCTTATAGATTTTAACAAAATGGAGTCTAGTCGACTCAATTCTATGAGCAAGGTTGCTAAATATACCATATTACAATTCTACCGATCGAGAGGGCATATTTGTTATCTGGAAAAAACATTTATTCACCACCGGCAGAACCAGAAGATATGTTACAGAGATTCCTAATTGCATGAGTACAATGATTATACGAATGATCACATAGATTACCAGTTAATAAAGGCAGATTCGATGCAAATGTAGTACAAGATTTGCAGTGCCCACTTTGTCCATCAATATATATTGGTGATGAATTTCATTATATTTGTGTATGTCCATTCTTTCAAAATGAGAAAAACTACTTGTGTGGTAGTAACTAGCCTAAGACCAAATGCGTTTCACATGGATAAGGTTTTTAATACAGCTCATGCTTGCCAGCTGAGTGAAGAAATTAGCCAAATTTGTTAGAATAATTATTTTACATTTTTCTAAAAAACCGAGGGTAGATGGTAATACTGTAAATGATATCTCACAGAGTAAGCAATGTTGTTAGGCACACTCGTAGCGGTAGGAGGGTGAATTGCCCAGTTCGCCTTGATTTGTAAATAATTATTTGTTCATACACTCTAAAAACTGAAATGTTAAATGTCAATTTCAAAGGGCCGAGGAGTGACCACTCTTTCAAAATGTCAGATTGTTTCTTTTAACCTGCTAGATTCAACATTTATAGTGTTGGATCCATCATATTCAAAGTGTTAATCTACCATTTTGAAAAAATGGTCACTCCTCGGGCCCTTTTAAATGGTGATTTAACAACATTTCAGTTTTTAGAGTGTATTATCACATGTTTATCATTGATCATATTATCACATGTTTATCTTCGTTCATAAATTATTATCATATGTTTATCATTGTTGATATTATCACATGGTGTTTATCATTGTTATACTATTGTAATATTGATATTATGTAAATATTCTTGTACTATATTACGCGTCAAGAGGGGGTCGATAGATATAATCTTACAAAAAAATGTACGCCGTTGCATTGCTTATCTGACTTTGAAAAATTGATATTACCGAGTCTCTCATCCGATAAAATGCAGTCAGTGGTCCAAGCATCACCATCTTGACGGAGACCATCCCTGCGTAGGTGGCAAAGTATTTGAGTGCTTCTTCGGAGTTCGACATCGTTATCGTTGAGAGTTACAACCCGACCCTGTCTGAAATTGAACTATATACCGCGCAATAGCTATCATGTAGTACGACGTATACAGCACTGGAGCTCATTAGGAAGGAGACAACCAACGGGAGAGTCAATGGGGTCAGGAGCCGTGCCCGGATCCGTGTCAGAATACTAATGCCTGTATATTATTACAATGCTCCCTGCAGAAATGAACTTTGATCATTACTCCCTAACATGTAATTGTCTCGTTTTATCAAAAGTAGATTGAAATGCCAACCCTCAGTGACTCTTTTCTTCTTGACTGGCACATTTCTTTTGAAATCTAGCCGGCAACGAAGAGAGATCTAGAGACCCGGGGTGAACAACTGATTCCACAGATCCCTGAACTTATTAACATGTAAAACTTGAGGCGTGATGTGAATCAAATTAATATGGATCCGACACTCTACAACATATCAGAAGTAAGCATAGAAAACGCAAAAAGGAATATTATGCATCCGTGTCCAAAGCTTAAAGAAAAGCAACCCTTCAGCTTGGTTTCGACAAATCCGAGTGATCACTGGTAACGCAAAGGACACGAGCCCCATCTACGTTCCTGGCATACCATCAAACGATGAATTTGCAATAGCTTCTGCCATCAACAATTTTTTTTTGCTTCCGTTGCATCTGATACCCACCAATTAAGCCCAACTGATCTTCCATCATACTTACCTTCTAGGAGTCCATGTCCGACTGTTTCATCTTGGGAGGTTTACAAAGAACTGTCAAGAGTGCAACGGGCATCGGCTGGCGGTCCAGATAATATATCAGCTAGGATCATCAGGGAATGTTGTGTAGAACTTGCGACCCCACTTGCAGACATTAATGCCTCTTTCAGCCAAAGCAAGGTTCCAAAGGACTGGAAACGAGCCATCGTTATTCCAATCCCGAAGACTACCCCCCTCCCTACGATTGACAAACTTCGCCCGATTTCTCTTACTAGCCATCTCGCCAAAATTGCTGAAGGTTTCATGGCAAAGTGGATTCTACAAGATATAAGACCCAAAATAGACCCTAATCAATTTGGTAATATAAAGTTCCTCTCAACAAACCATTACTTGATAAACATGCTACATCTCTTATTCCAAAATGCGGATAAACTCAAAGCTACATCTTTGGTAATTGTTACTGATTTTTACCAAAGCCTTTGATAGGGTTGACCACACGATAGCCATTAGAAAGCTTATCGACCTTTGAACCAGGTCTGCCATTATTCCATGGATTGCTGAATTATGTTCCCGTCAGCAGTGTGTACGATACCATTCAACGTGTTCTGATTGGGTGTCATAACATGCAGGTGTTCCGCAGGGAACGAAATTAGGTCCAATAATATTTCTAGCAATGGGTGATGATGTTAATCCATCTTTCCAGAACTCAACTATACCTTTAAATATGTGGATGACTTGTCAATTGTTGAATGTAGGAACTGTAACCAACCATCTGAATTACAAAAGTCTATGGACTATTTTCTAACCTTGTGTGATCATAATCATATGAAGATGACCCCCCCCCCCAAAAAAAAAAATAAAATAAATAAATAAATAAAAAAATAAATAAATAAATAAATAAATAAAATAAATAAATAAATAAAAAATACCGGAAATCATGAACTGGCTACTGTTAAAGCCACCAAAATATTAGGAGTCATAATTCAGAATGACTTAAAATGGGATAAAAACATAAATAATATCATAAAGAGAGCAAGCAGTAAAATTCATATGCTTAGACTATTGAAACGTCATGGTCTACCCTAAATATGATGACTTGTTGACCATATACATGTGCTACTTAAGGCCTATCATTGAATATGCAGCCCCTGTAGGAATGGAGGCCTCACCAAAAACAAAATCATCAGGTTAGAAATAGTCCAAAAGAGAGTTTTGAGAGTGTTTATCGGTGCACGTTACTCAACTTATGACACTGTCCTAGATGAATTGAAAATCGAATCTCTCTCTGATAGAAGAAAGAGTTTGTGCTTGTCGTTCTTCCAAGAGACCCTACTCTTCACTGATCAATTTAAACAGTATTTCCCTCCAGAAAATAATTGAAGAACACTAAGACATAAATCCCAAATCCCTGAAATTAGATGTAAAACTAAACGACTGCAAAATATAGTCCAATTCCGTATTACCTCATCCGTGCACTTAACCAAAGTAAACGATGAATGATCCTCCTTTTCTTGTACCCTTCAGCCTCGGCAATTTCATCACCTTTTTGTTTTGTTTTGCTTTTTGTTCTTCGACACCCCTATTTTTCTTCTTTTCGTTCCACTTCTATACTTCTTTTTCTTTTCCTTCCTTTTTTTCTTCTTTTATTTCTTCTTTTCCTTATTTCTAGACTTATTTTCTTCTTCTCCTTTTTTTCTTTCTTCTTTCCCTTCTCCCTCTTCTTCTTCCTTCATTCTTTGATTTGATTGCCTTGCCTTTGCCTGTGTATACACTCATACCAATTTTGTATTATATTTGTTTCATGATTTTTAAAGTATTTTTTACTCCATTTTTACCCTAGTTTTACTATATTGGATTGAACTTAATTGAATTTAACTGAATCTGTCATGTGACAATAGTTTATCATCCCTCTTCACCACCATCTCTTGTCTACTTTAGACATGGTTGTATATTTCCACTTTGTTTTGTTCTTTTCCTCTTTTAACTCTTTTATCTTTATCTTCTCTTTCTTCTACTTCTTTTTCCTCCTTTCTTTTCCTCCTTCCATTTCTTCTTCTTCTTTTTCTTTTTCTTCTTCATCATCATCGTCTTCTTCTTCTTTTCCCTTCATTTCCGTATTCTCCTATAGGAATTTTCCATTGTCGCTTTCTACTACTACTTCCTATACCTTTTCCCCTCTCAGCCTTTTAAAACTCTTCCCTTGTAAATCTCTCCCACTCTTAATTTCAGTAAGTTACAGTGTATTTGCAAATGTTATACTCCCACCTTTCAGTTTTACTCTCGATTTTTTTCCACCACATACACTTGCTCCGTTGTCCGCTTTTTGCTTACTTCAGTCCTTCTTCTTTCACATGATTTCAGTAAAACTATGTTACTTTATGCTATTTTATTCAGATTTCTTTCTAATGTATGTTTTCATTTGTTGCAATAAGCTATATTTCTCGTATTTATACTGATTTATTTTACAAATTCAAAATATCATGTTACGCTATGTTATATATTACATTATGTATTATCACTGGCGTACTGGTGGGGGTGCTTGGGGGGGGGGGGGGGCAGCCCCCCCAAATAAAATTGAACCACGACTTTTTTTCACAAGTGATGTATATGTTCGTGATATCACATGATTTTCAACAAAATGCTAGTTTTTCCATTAATTCTTGCACACTGACCCATTCCCCAAAAAAGCCAGGAAGAGCTTATGTTTTTATTGTCACTAAGGGCCTTATAGTGGCCACCAACAGTAACACTGGTAAAAAAATCCTTTCCAGAAGCTTTGTGCAAAGCACTGCCGGGAGATAACATGCTACCTACCACTCGGGCTGAGCGTGCACAGATTTGCGAACGAGCGTTCCATACTTACATCATGTAACACTGCACATAATGTGGGGGAAATTGAATTCAGACAAGATTAAGAGTACTAACGGTACAACGAATCGTCTTCCGCGTTTTGCACGGGAGGGGGGGGGGGGGAATTGAATTCAGACTAGGATTAAGAGTCGAGAACGGTTTTGATGAAACGCGAAAATGATTTCAGACAAGGATTAAGAGTAATAATTAAATAAAACGACAAAGCTTCCGCGCTTCGCGTGGGAGGGGGAAAACTGAATTCAGACAAATACACGATAAAATGAATCGTCTTCTTTCTCTATAAATTTAATGAAACGTGATAGCTTCCGCGCTTCGCGCAGGATGGGCAAAAATGAATTCAGACAAGGGTTAAGAGTAATAATTTATTGAAAGACAAAGTTTCCGCATTTCGCGCGGGAGGGGGACTGATTTCAGACAAGGATTAAGAGTCGAGACCGGTACAACGGATCGTCTTCTTGCTCTAATAATTAAATGAAACGTGAAAGCTTCAGCGCTTCGCGCGGGATGGACGAAAATGAATTCAGACAAGGATTAAGAGTAATAATTTATTGAAACGTCAAGGCTTATGCGCTTCGCGCGGGAGGGGGGGGGGAACTGAATTCAGACAAGGATTAAGAGTCGGGGTTGGAACCATGAATCGTCTTTCTCTAATTATTAAATGAAACGTCATAGCTTCCACGCTTTGCACAGGAGGGGCGAACCAAGAATTAAGAGTCAAGAACGGTACAACGGATCGTCTTCTATCTCTAATAATATAATGAAGTGTCAAAGCTTCCGCGCTTCGCGCGGGAGGGGGGGGGGGAACTGAAAAAATTAATTAGTTCCTGGCCCCGGGTTTATGGGGTTAAAATTGTAGGCATTTGGACATTGGCATTTTTATATTTGTTGGTAATTGGTGGCTCGTTTTGTCGGTAATCGGTGGCCTCTACACCCTTCCCCCCTCCCCCACTGAAAAAGATCTAGCCGCGCCCCCGATAACGACACAGTTTATACACTCGAGATAATTTTTGCAAGTACTACAGTCAAGTACCGGCATCAAAGCATAATCTATACAACGTCTCACGACGTGTCAGATCACTTTTCTCTAACTTCTAACGACTCCCCTCCCGCGCAAAGCGCGGAAGCTTTGCCGTTTCATTAAATTATTAAAGAAAGAAGACGATTCGTTGTACCGGTCTCTACTCTTAATCTTGTCTGAATTCAAGAAGGCCTCTTTTTTTCCAGGAAGTGCCGGTGGACATTAATGCGCCAAATGTGGTTCTCAAATTGCAAAAGATCCCTACTCTTGGAAGGGGTAGGAGAAAGCAATTTTACGTCATATTATATTACTCCAGGAAGCAGGGGCGTCGCCAAGGGGGGGGGGGGTGAGGGGTGCGACACCCCCCCCCCCCCCACCTGTCAGGATATTGTCGGTAAAATTGCGCTGCCGTCGGAAAAAAGAGAAAAGGGGGAGGGAAAAAAAGAGAGGGAAAAAAAAAGAGAGGGAAAAAAGAGAGGGAAAGGGGAAAGAAAAGAAGAAAAAAAAGGAAAAGAAAAGAAAGAAAGGAAAAGAAAGGAAAGAAAAGAGAAGAAAGAAAGAGAAAAAAGAAAAAGAGGGAGGAGAGGAAAGAAAGGAAAAGAAAGAAAAAAGAAGAAAAAAGAGTGAAAGGGAAACAAACGAAACGGGAGATGAAAGAGAGGAGAGAGAAGGGAGGTAAGAGTCTGAGAGAGGAGGAGTGGGAGTAAAAGAGAGAAGGGAGTTGTTGGGTGGAGTCGTCTCGTCGAGGGAGCAAGAAAGAAACGGGTAAATATGTTGCTGTGTTGGGTCAGCTGTGTCGGTATTCTTGATCGATCCTCGTGTACTATATCAATGCAGAAGTTTGAAGTCGGTGAGATGTATATTGTCGGTCGGCCGACAAGTTTTTTTCCCTACGAACTGTGTCTTCTTATCCGCTGTGACGACTTCGAGAGTGACTACAACTACAATACTTGTTTTTTCTCGAAGTTTCACTTTTCTATAATATCAGCTAAAGAAATCAGACGTTTAAAATTTTCGGGAAAACTAATTTCAAACAAGGTTTAAGAGTCAACAACGGTACGACGAACCGTCTTCCTTTCTATATATTGTGATGAAACGCCAAAAATTCCGTGCTTCGCGCGGAAGGGAAACTTCATTTAGTCGAGTCGAGAACGGTACAACGAATCGTCTTCTTTCTCTAATAATTTAAGGAAACGTCAAAGCTTCCGCGCTTCGCGCGAGAGGGAAAACTGAGTTCAGACAAAATTAATAGGGCTTATTTAGAGTCGAAAACGGTACAACGAATCGTGTTCTTTCTCTAATGATATGAGGAAACGTCAAAGCTTTCGCACTTTGCGCGAGAGGGGGGAAACTGAATATAGAAGAATAGGGCTTATTAAGAGTCGAAAACGGTACGACGAATCGTCTTCTTTCTCTAATAATTTTAATGAAACGTCAAAACTTCCGCGCTTCGCGCGGGAGGGGAAAGCTTCATTTAGATAAGGATTAAGAGTCGAGAACAGTACACCGAATCGTCTGCTTTTTCTCATAATTTAATGAAACGTGAAAGAGGGGGGTGGGGGATGGGAGGGGGTGGGGAAACTTCATTCAGCCAAGGATTACTAGTCGAAAACGGTACAATTAATCGTCTTCTTTTCCTTATAATTAAAGGAAACGTCTAAGCTTCCGCGATTCGCGCAGGAGGCCCATCACCCACACCCCCTAATGAGCGCGCTTTTAAGTGATTCTCTTGCTCACTACCGCCCCTCCCTAAAATAAGATCCTAGCTCCGCGCCTGCATTAAAATATATAGCTATGATGCTGACTAAATAATACGTATATTTATGTCTTCGAGGAAAATGACCATTTCGCGCATATGCAAGTACTATAGATAGTCCATATGAATTTTTTTTTTAGCTTCGGCCCCGGGTTTATAGGGTTATTTGTAGACATTGAACATTTAATTTTGTCGGTAATTGGTTGCTAGTTTTGTCGGTAATCGGTGGCCTCTACACCCCCCCCCCCCCCCCCACTAAAAAAGGTCTAGCGACGCCTCTGCCAGGAAGTGCCTGAAAATACGTCTAATTTGGTTTTAAAATTGCAAACGCTTCTTACTCTGGGAGGGGGCCAGAACCCCCTCCCAGACCCACCCCCTGCTTGGTCACTCCACTCCCTCGCCGTTAAAGCCTCGTTCTGTCGCTTCATCGTTTTACATTTCAACCCTTGCCATTTTGTGCCCCCCCCCCCCGTAAGAAATTCCTGGATCCGCCACTGATGCCCATACCCCTTGAGCTTAGGGGCTCCGCCCCTTGACCCCCGCCGGGCTTTGCCACTAGACCCAATTTCGAGAAACGTTCAGCAGGGACTGCATGTTAGAGTGGGGGTGATTTGGATTTTTTTGTCAGCCCCCCCCCCCCCCAACGTTTTTGCTCATTACGCCACTGTGTATTATTAATTTTGTTTGTAAACTTTTGTAATTCGGCTAAACGCCGCGATGAAAGTTTTATTTTAAATAAACCATTTTGAATTGAATTGAATTGAATTGAAAGCCCTAACTTACATATTGATAAATAGTCTTGAGAATATATCTTTTTTATATTCGCTTCACTTTCACTTGAAGAACATATTTTATATGAATTAAAGTCAACAATAATAAAATAGTATAACTGGCCGAACTGGAAGAAAAAAATATTGCCTTTTTTTTTATCGGGTTTTCCCTCCAAAACATTTATCGAGTTTCGCATCATTTTTATATCCGACTTTATTTGAGTATGGGGTGAATAGCTAGTATTCTCTTTGCTTGTCTCTCTCCGGCTCTCCCTTAACTCTTTCTTCTTTCGACCCAAGTTCCCTCTCCCTCCCTCCCTCCCTCTCTCTTTCTTTCTCCTCTTTTCTTTGTCTTTCTCTCTCATCTTCTCTCTCTCTTTCTCTCTCTCTCTCTCTCTCTCTCTCTCTCTCTCTCTAGTATTGTCCCTCCTCTCTTCTCCTCTCCTATCTCTCCTTCATTCTCTCTATTCTCCTCTCTCTCTCTCTCTCCATCTCTCTCTCTGTCTCTCTCTCTCCCCTGTCAATTTGTTATCATCTCACTCCGTATTTACCAATCCATTACATTGATAGAATGACACTAACTTTTGAAATACTTGCTCATTTTAGTACTTGCTCAATTTAATCTAAAATGAGTACATTGTTCTCTATCAAATTAGATCTAAAAAAATGATTACTCACATGGCCTTTATGAAAAATAGTCATTCAGGCTGAATGTTAATCTCATCTTATGAAAAAAAAAGTGAATGCGATTCCATGTCACTAAAAATTACGTGCAAAACCATTATTGAGCAATACAACTATGAATCAGCTATACGTTGGAGCCCTAACGTACATTGATGATCAGCCTCAAATGACGTTCTTCCACCAACAGCACGCATCTCCTTTCCAATGCAAAAAACTCAAAACACGAATGTGCGTCAATCGAACTTAGTTTCTATATGAGTTTTGTAGTACTCGAGGAAAAAAAAAAAACTTTTCCCCGGAGCATATTTTTTCTGGGATTTCGTTTTTTGAAACATGTATTTCTGAACTAAAATTGTGGTTAAACATTAATAATTTAAAGCTGAATGATGCAAAGACCTAACCGTCTAAAAGTGATCAATCTAAAGTTCATGTTGATCAAATACAATTTGTATTTGATCAACAATTCGCTTATTCAAATATTTCCTCTTCTTTATCTTTGCAAAATTTGGGTTTCATCTTAGATAGCATGATGACAATGGATATTCAAGTGAAAAGAATTTTTCAAAGTGTGTTTTCCCAGATAAGAAATGTCTGGAGTATCAGGAAGGTTCTTTCAATGAGATAAGGCAGCTGATATTGTTGACGCATCAATAATATCATGATTAGATTGTGGAAATTCTTTGCTTTTGGTATAACTCAAACAGTATTTAAGGAAATTACAATTCTTCTGCACGTATTCTTTCAAGACGGGTAGAAAGTTTGCTCATACCCCTACACTTATTGCACAACACTGGCTTTCTGTAAAGCAGAGAATTGAATACAAAATTATTTTATTAACATGGAAGGCAATACTTGGATATGCCCTTCATTTTTGTCACCAGTTATCCACTTTCAGAACAGAAAAAGTATTTCAGATTGCTTACAATAATAGTCATTGCTTTTTTGTCTTTCCCAATTAGAATCATGAACTGATATTTCTGGTAGCTTTTCAAGTCTCATCAGTGCCTTTGATTAGGCAACTAGATATTGGCGCTTTATACATTCCTGGATTGGATTAGATTAGTGTATTCTCTTCCATCTTAAAGAAGCCAGGTGTTCATCAGAAGTCGGATGGCCATGGACAGGTTGGTGCCAAATCCAACCCCATAACAAAGAACCCTGGACGGCTGGGGCAGGGGTAACAGGTATGCTATGGAGTGTAAGAACCTTGAAGCAACAAAGATACGATAATGCCAAAGGATGGTGGTGAGAGAAGAGCCAGAGAAGACGGCGAAGAGTCCCCCGATGATGACGAAGGGTACGATATTCTCAAGGTCATTCATGCTGCATCTAAAGGATGGAAGATAGAGGAAAGAGGTTAGAAAGAGATGTCGTCACTAACTTTAGGATAAAGCAAATGATATAGTGAACATTAATATTGAACCAAATAATCAGATAGCTGTAGAAGTGAGAGAAGATATACCGAAGGAAAACAAAGAGAGGAAAGAGTATAATAAACAAATATAGTAGGGAGAATTGATTTTATAAAACTACTGATGAAATACAATGGAAAGATCCTCATGCACGTAGAGAGAAAAGTGTGATTCTTTTTATTTTTAGAGACAACTCAAAAGCCTTATATTATGACACTACTCTATTTTAACATTTGCCAGGAGACTATAATACATGAACGAAGTAAAGTTATGGTAAGAGAGGAAAAAACACCTTGGTTGTAGGGGAGATGGTTTGGTGATGATCCCTCAGTCTTCGCTTATACAAACTCACTCTCACGGACACCAGTTCGAAAGAAGTCGCGTCCTTTGGATGGTAAAGATATATCCAAGGACCTATACATATTCGAATCGGATCTGACCAATACAAGTCTATAAAAACACAATACGCATGTCATTTATGTCTCCTGAGACAAAGTCGGTGACTTTACAAACCTTTATTTACCTTCGCATACGCTCTATCTGGGGGTGATTGAAGACTGTTCGTCGATCTTTCTTATTAGAGAGAGCCAAATCCTCCTCGTTCGCAAATGCCTAAAGTGTGAGTGCGAAGAACATAAATATGACTTAGAGAGGGGTAAATCATGCATTATGTAAAGCTATGAAAGCTACGAATAATCAATAAAGAAATTAGCAATTTAGGAAATAGCATGTCTAAAGGATGACATAACTGTTTAAGAGACACTAAACGATAAAACACTCTAGCAAAATGCCGTTGAACTATTCTTTCCATTATGCCATTTAAAGGGCCACTCTAACCCAACTAACATAGCCTGTCAAAACATGAATACACCTCTACTTATTAATATTACAGCCTCTGATTTTTCAGAAAATCTCTTAATTGATTAAAAAATTACAATAAATATCCATTTTTCACAGATCTCACGCTTGCTGGGCTACGCCCCTCGAAAAAAGGTAATAGAGTGGTGAAGTGTGACGTCATTAAAAATCTATTTTGGGAATTTTTCAATTTTTTTTCGTAATTTTCCGAAAGATCATAAAAAATAATGTCCGAATGTCGAAAACCAATTGAATATGTTAAGTATTGGCTGAGATATGATCATCTGAATAAATAGATTTCCTATAGGAACTCAGTGTTATATTGCTCTGGTTCATAATATTACGAGCCAGAGCAATATAACACCCTATAGGACATCTATTTATTCATATATATATATATATATATGATTGCTGATCATTTGAAATTTAGAGTCCGTTACTATATCAAATTTGAACAGACAGAAGTATTATTTATTGAAATTGATAATTATATATTGAAAAAATTGTATTGTTGACCCCCTGACAGTAATTCAGATTTATTTTATAACAATTTTGAATCATGTCTTCATAAAATAGCAACAATTGTCTTTCTTTTACCCCCATAATTGTAGTAATTCTGACAGGTTTACTTATTTGATGCATGTATGGATTTTGTTCATACATTAGTAAGCCCAATAGAATTAATGTACACTCCTCAACGCTTATTGATAATATTTTTTCTAATGCATTTACTAAAAAAGTAACTGGAGGAAAATTATGCCAAGAACTTTGCCTAATTTTGTAATATGAACATGAAATGTCCCAATTGAAACCACTTAATAATATTATGTATCGTAGAGAAACCCCTCATAGTATTGAATTAAAGCAGAATTTAGCTGTGGAGGAATTTAAGTGATTTAAATACTGCTAATGAAAATTATTATGATAAAAACATTCCTTTAGCAAAGGTTAAACGTAAAAGTAATAAACCAAATAAACCTTGGATAACGAAAGGTATACTTAAATCAATACAAACTAGAAATCGCATGTATAAAATATATATTTACGTAACTCCAATGAACCAAATTTAACAACTTATAAAAAATACCGTAAAATTAACGAAATTAGAGGGCGAGTTGTAACATTTATCCTAAGTTATTATAGAAGTTATGGGGAAGAAATTTACCCTTTACCAAAAGTTGAGCTTTCCTTAAACATAAAAAATGTTTTTTTGTTTTTTTCTGTTTTTTTTTTCAGGTGGCTGTCCAGACAAACCCTCTAGGGTTTTTATACAGCAACCTAATTCCTATTTGTTTGTTTTTACTGTCAATATTGTACTATGTTAATCATATTTATGTAAAAGTAATATTTTGATGTCACCGTTTTTGTTTTTTTACTATGGAATTAAATAAATACTGAACTGAACTGAACTGAATAATTGAAGACTCTAGTAATTATGCTAATCATTTTATTCATTAATATTTGCCCCCAATTTGCAAGTGAAATTAACAAGTCCCATGCACAAACCCTAATAAAATTATTCACGTTACTAAAGCATTAAGCATGTCCAAAGCTCAAGGTTGTGATAGAATTAGTACATCACTTTAAAAACAAATAATACATGTTATTGCTAATCCGCTAACCCATATTATTAATCAGTCTTTATTGCAAGATGTTTTTCCAGATTTACTTAAGATAGCGAAGGTGAATCTTTAAAAAAGACAATTCGCACGAAATTAGTAATTACCGCCCAATTTCTTTACTTTCTAGTACTATATCTATAAAAAAAAAAGAAGAGAATTAACAGGTAACTCGATTTTTTAAATACTCACAAAATATCAAATCTAAATCAATATGGTTTTACAAAAAATCACTCTACTGACTTGGCCTTAGTACAAATTTATGATAAAATGACTAATGCCATAGCAAATAAAGAACACGAGATTGGTATTTTTGTATAGATCTTAGTAAAGTTTTTGATACGCTCTATCATTATATTTACTCTACAAACTTTTGTTTTTATAGTATTCGGGCCCAAGTCCTCTCATATTCTAAAAACAATATGTCTATGTTAACGGTTTTAATTCTGTTTACTTTCCGTTGATCGTGGTGTTCCCCAAGGCTCCATTTAGGTCTACTTTTATTCATTGTATACAGTAATGATTTGTATGACACATCTTCTTTATTGTCATTTATTCTTTTTGCAGATGACACAAATATTGTTCGCTCTCATAAGAAATTAGAATCATTAGGGAATGTTTTAAATTGTGAATTACGCAAAGTTTCAAACTGGTTTAAGTGTAACAAGCTGCCGTTAAAAATAAGAAGAAAAAAACATATTATGCACTTTAATACTATGTTTCTCCTTTATATAATTTCCGTATTAATATTGAAATTGATTATGCCAATCGAACAAAAGAAGACATCAAAGTTTTTGGGAGTATTTATTGATGAAAATTTAACATGGAATGATCACTTACATTATGTATCTAGTATGTGTATATCCAAAAGTGTTGGAATCATAAATAAGTTACAATTTCTTTTGCCCTATACTACGTTATTTTTACTACGTTATGTATAACACATTAGTACTTCCGTATTTAACGAATTGTAATATTGGTTGGGCAAAATGGTGTAACCAAACTTAGTTCGGTTCTTCCATTACAAAAAGGGCCCTTCGTATTTGTACTGGATCTCCTTTCAGCCCGTACAGACCCATTATTTTTAAAGTTAAAAACATTAAAATCATTGACTTACATACTCTCCAAGTTGAAATTGTTATGTTCAAATATATGAATAAGCAACTGCCACCTTCATTCGATAATTTTGTTGTTCATAATAATACAATAACTTCATTCTTATCCAACTCGTTTTTTGAGAATTTTCATTTAACTAACCCAAAATAATGATTACACACAAATCAATCAGAACCCCACCCACACTTGCACTGCAAACACACTGCAAACACTTGAACAATAATATTTCGCGCGTAAAATTATGTTACTTACTTATTAAGTCGCTAATTTTCACGAAGCCGCCATAGATTTCAAGCTTACCGCTCATGACGGCGGTCTCCTGCGTTTTTTTTGTACTTTATCCATTTCATTGAAAAATATTTGTGTTTGTATGCATCTTATTTAATGTACTGAACATTTTATAATATTATGTATAATTAAGAAATGATTGTTAATGTATGTATATGATTATGTATTATTTTGAAAACGCAGAAATACAAAAACAAACAAACGAACAGTATATATTACGATTCTACCAATCAAGAGAGCATACATTTTATATCTATCAACGGCATTGATTTAACACCAGTAAAACAAGAAAATGTTACGGAGATTCACAGTAGCATTAGTACAATGATTATAAAAAGAAAAGAAATGAGAACTATGCATGGGCGCCATGGCATTGCTTATCTGACTTTGAAAAAGTGATATTACCGAGTCTTTTAACCGATAGAATGCGGTCATTGGTCCAAACATCATCATCTTGACGGTAACCAGCCCTGCAGAGGTGGCAAAGTATTTCAGTGCTTCTTCCGAGTTCGACATCGTTATCGTTGAGAGTTACAACCCGACGTTGTCTGAATGTATTATAACCGAAATTGATCTGTATACCGCGCAATCATGGAGTACGGCAGCACTCGAGCTCTATATTACACCAGGGAGGAGCCAGCCAACGGGAGAGCGAATGGGGACAGGATATTAATGTTCGTATCGGTGATTAATTACAATGCTCTATGCAGAAATGAACTTTGATCAGACTACGCCCAAAGTCTGGTTTTCAGAAGTGGATTTAAATTCATAATTCGAGCAATGACGTTTTCATACAGCGTCGAATGCCAACCCCAATGCAGTGACTCTTTTCTTTCTGACGAGCACATTTTTAAATATTGACACAACATTCAGTTTGCAACACGGCTCTTTCCCTGTCACTCTAGTAATTCTTTGCATGATAAACTTACTACACTTGTACACTTCTAGACTGCAATGACTGCATTGTTAACAACTGCACCTCTTTCTGTGTCTGTTATAAGTTATATTTTATAAGTGCAGGGTAATTGTTTTAAAATATTATAGTATTTTTCAGCACTTTAACATCTATTTTATAAGAGCACATCATAATCCCAAGAGAAGATCATAGCAACAACAAAAAAGAAAGAAAATAAAAACTCGATGAAATTTCCCTCAATTTTTTTTTTTTTTAAATTCTACTTCTAAATCGTCCACGCAGCCGTTACTAGGTTGGGTTACATACAAATTATCGTGTCAAATTAGTAAATCAAAGAAGGCCAATTCTAAGATACCACTGTGATATTAAAGTTCCCATATAGTGTGTTCATTTTAATGTAGTTAATGTCAGAAGGGGTGGGGATTCTTTTTTTAAATTGTTTTTTTTATTCCAATTATGTTTCGTTCTCTCGATGCGAAATCATAATGTTATACCTAATACTTTGATATTCTATTGTAATAACATTGCAAGGAAAATACATTATGTTGTTTTTTAACTTTTATGTCTAAATTATTATTTTTTAGATAAAAAGAATAATGTGCAGATATGAATATACAATTCATTCGTACACTGTTTTTATATTTACCCTCTTTGTAAAGAGAAAACAAAATGCAACATACAGAAAACGAACACACTCTAATTTTGAACTTGAAATTTATTTGCATGATGTGGTGATTTGACATTTGAATCCATTCGTCTTAGATAATCATACCCCCAAAAGCGTAGAGATTCGATCAAATAGAACCCCCCCCCCATCTCCATTAAACAAACAGTGATCATGCAACCACATATCTCTATTAAAGCTAAGCGGAAACATTTTTACCCTCATGGTTCATTTTCTACCCAGTATGTTTAAGAGTGTTTGTATTTGCGTAATGCTTGAATAAGATAAAGAATTATTTAAACACATCAACTCAACGTGTAAATGATTTGGTCACGAGTGGATGCAATGATATTAAGTGTTCAATCACCTTCATGCTTAAAACTGTCACGAAATTTACGTTGGATCATCAATACTCCTAATTTGCGAATTAAGAACATCTACTTTGATACATAGTAATACATAGCAATACATATTTAACGCCTTCTGATTCTGAACAAGACGGGAAATAATATTTGGGGACACATTCAGTAAACTCATTTCCTCATTGCATTTAATGTGTCCTAAAAGCATGCCAGAATGGGTTTTGCCAGGGGCACATGCCCATGCACCACTCTGATATGTATCAATAAATTAATTCCGATTATTATTCCTGATAGTGAATTTCCTCTTTGCATAAAAAAGTCTTCGATTTTGTCCTTCTACAACATTCATGTACATGTATCTACATATTTGCATAAAATCGACGGTGAGAAAAACATGCATCACGGTAAGGAAATTAGGAGCATGATGAAATCAAAATTACAAAATCAACTTCATTTGTAAATGTTCGGAATAAACCAATTTTATAATTAATTCAAGAAATAGAGTTCCAAGCATGTTATAAATATTGTCAGTAATACCCATTTATCAAATTCCGTAAAAGATAAATACTTTTTAGCGTTATGTTAAAAACTGATGCAGTTAATTTTCTAGCAGAACTTTAAATCTGATCCTATTCAAACTTTCAAATAGATTGTATCAGAACTGTAATAACACTTGATTCATGCCACGATCCAGAAAACAGGAATGTGTTTTATATATCCTTTCTACATTTTGATATACACATTTGTTTTGTTTATTAATGTAAAAAATGATAATCACCAGTCTGTCATTATTCTAAAATTCAGAAATGTAACAAATTTAGTTCTGACTGTATTATAACGATAGTTTGTTGGTTCTTTAGTATAAAGTTGCATCAGTAAAGCTTCTGGAATGTCAAATTAAAAGTTCAAAGCCACAAAAATTATCCATCTATATCGCAAAAGAAAGAAGAAGGAAAGAAAAAGGATAACACAAAGGAACAAAAATGGCCGGAACGAAGTTCACCATAATACTCGTTGGTGAGTAGGGCCTGTTATATAAAAAAATCAAACAAACCATACAAAACATGCAATTAACGGTTTGTTATTTGGGTGAATCTTGAAATTTAAAATAAAAACTTAGATTGTGAGAATACTAAAGAAGGTAAATAATGATGCAAAACGAAAAAAAATTATTGTATAGTGCATATTACATTATGATATAACGTCACTATTCTCTTGCATAATTTAGACATTACAATACTCCACATAATTCCATCAATATCCATTGAAATTGCACCAAAAGTATTCATTTCTCTTGAAAAGGGTTAATATTTACATGATGACAATGTACCTTTTCCGTTGTAACTATTCATTCATTCAGCAAAAGATACAAAATGTTGAAAAGTTAGCGTCAAAATTTGACATAATTTGCAACCATTTATCAAACACAAGGTCGAATGGAGTATGCAATATTATGAACTTGATTTTAACGCTAAAAGATCTCGTTACCCCATTGTTTTCCTCTCAAGCTTATATAAATATAAATATAATTATGGCACCGTTTCAGATAATTCCCATGTTGCCTGGTCGAGTAGCTTAATCTGATCATTGGACAGGCACTTTAGAGCTGCTGTCACACTCTCTTCCACTGATAGCATACCAAAAGAATTAGGTCGAGACTGGTATTTCTTTTCACTTCGTCCTCCATTATCTCCGTCAGACCTTTGTCGTAGTTCTGCTAACGAACATCGTGACGACAAAAGGCATATGGTTCCATGTGCCTTGTAGGTGTCCTTTCGACCAAACAGACATGTCAAGTCAAGAGTTCCTTGTAGACGCTCAAGATAGCCGCCATACTGATTACCATTGTTCATGGGGTGACCCGATACCACACTTGGGTAAGGCCGTTCTCGTGCAGTTCTGTTGTTCTTTATCCTTAGCTTTCCTTCGGCACGTGGTGACGATGGGCTGCAAGGGCTTCCAGGAGATCCATCAGGGTTCTGCTGATACGGTTCTATTGAGGAAAAGTCACCATGCATCGTGGATTTGATGTGCTGGATGAGTGCTGAAGGTTTTCCATGCGGCCTTCGTTCATTATGGCGTCCTGACACCAAGTTAGAGCTCACGTACCAAGGCTGGGGTAATCCGCCCAACAATCCGGTTGCCAATGAACACGTAAGCTTTTCGTTGTTGTAGTGATTGTTACCCTGGCTAGCTCTTAAGGTGTAATGGCTGTCCACCTCGACATCCTCTTTACTCTTGTTTTCCTCTCTGTAATGATGCCATGGACTGGAGCCATTATGGTAGTTCCTTGGGCCTACCACGTGCTGATCAGCTGATGACGTATTCTGATGGAGATTGCCAGATTCAATATCGCCTCTGTAAAATTGAAAGAAAAACCCGAAGTTGTCAGAAATAAGTATTGTCTTTATTATCGTCGTATAGCTTTACGTACATCAAAAGATAGTCGATTTTATCATGCGTGTGTTTTTCCAGTTAGGTTTGAAATTAAATCGTCAATAAGTCGTAGAGAGGAAATTAATCGATGATTTATACATTTTCCTTGGGAAAAATCCCTGAGAAATGAAAGGTCACTTTACTAGGGATATTAACTTTACGGAGGAATAGTGTACACCTACCGACATGTTTCAATTGATAAAAAACACACTCCACAAAAGATTTATAAGTTGAGATATTTTATAGCGGTCAACATTTTGTGTAAACAGAAAAAACCAAGGCATGAAAGAAAATTAAAGGACGAACCGGACGATGCGATACTTGCAGATTATGGTGTACGACATTTGACCTGAACTTTCCCGGATAAGATGAGCTGTGATGTGAGTGGTTATCGTCTGTTTGTCCTTGGTAACGAGTTGGAGTGTCGAAAAACATTGGGTTTCATTGGATGCTGTCATTACTAAAACTGGTGGATTGAATAAAAAAAACATAAAGATGCAACAAAAATAATATATTGTACCTGCCATCATGATGGACATAAGAAAGGATACAACAAGAAGAGAAAGAGACAGAAAAGGAGAGGGGAGACAGAGGAGCAAAGGCGATCGAAAGTAAACAATACACTACCCTCAATTTATAATGCACGTGTTATGTGTATCATTGATTTGACAACAATCTTAAGGATCATGAGGATGCAGTAGTGGTGAATCGTGCTTCCGACTGAAGTACATAATGTAACTTAAAGAATATTTGTGAATGAAGTTTTAATATGTGTCTAATTACTAATTACCTCATTTACGACGATGCGAAACTACATTATTTCGCTAAGGTCTATGTATGACATTTTAAAAGAGTCTGCTTACTTTCTTGATGAAAATGTTTGGCAACCAATACATATTCCGGATGAACAAGACGATACCATCGATGCCCGTACAACTCTTCGCCAGAGTAACCAAGAAACAGAGAAGCCCTATATTTAAACAAATCAGAGAAGTAATGTTTTGTTAAAGATACTATGTCCCTTTTGCAGCCAACCTCAAATTCTGTAGAACTTTGCAGGAATTATGAATATGTCATGTATGTCCTATCTGTGAAATTTAAACGTTAGCAGTGTCCTCATATTCAAATTATGCAAGGAAACCCGTTTACTTGCTAGACTTCACTGTCAGACACTATTGGGAGACTGACTGGCTTCTTTTCTTCTTTGGTAATAACATACATGAAAAGAGTTGTAAAGGGTACATGAGCATTTGTCTACATCAATAACCCACTTCTTGTGATGACCAAGCTTTAACTGATTGAATCTTTGCATAGCATAAAACGTATGACCATTCGGTACAATTGTCTGAAAATCAAGACTATTACTTTTGGGCTCTATAGCCCTAAAGTCGATTTGACAACTAATAGTCGTTATTTTCCCACTTGAAGACATTTTCAAGCCCCACCTTTTTTAGGGAAGTTCTAAATTAGTATTATCTTTCAAATACAGTTGGAATTTAACTCTTTTTGGCCTGCAAATGGGACATAGTACCTTTAAAGCCCCATCTGCACTAGTTTATTCAGGAGGGATTAGACCTCCTTGCGTGGTCACTGGCAGGTGGTTATCTCATTAAATCAGTTCTCAATTAACTTAAGAAAAGGAGGATAATGGGGGACCAACGGGTACCGCTTAAGCATTATTGGCTATATAGAGGGCGCAAGTAGATACAAGTAGTGCAGTCCCGCTTTTACATAATTTTTTTTCTCAAAAACTCTTTAAATTGGGATATATTCATAACATCTCTATGTCACAGTTGTCATATAAGTCTTCACTGAGTGGTGATTGTGTTTATTGTTTAGCTTAGTTTTGTTTTATTTTGTCTATTTGTTTTTCTTTTTTTTTAAAGATATTTTACTTGGGTTAGCATAAGGGATATAGTGTATTTTCGCTAGTCCATTAAACCCTAGACCATTCATTAACGTTATCATTAATACGATTGTTATACTATTATACTAGTATTATTATTATTACAATAATTCCTACTATTCTTATTATTATCATCACTGTTATTATTTTTGATAAAACTTGTATTATAATAATTATCATTATTATTACAATTATTATTATTATTATTTTTACTATTATTTACTATTATCATTAATGTTATTATTGTTATCATCAATGTTTTTTAATATTGATATCATTTGTACTATTATAAACTATTATTATTATTGTTATTATTATTATCATTATCATTATTACTATTATTATTATTACTATCGTTATTAACGTCGCGATTAAGTTAAAGACAATCCAACCTTTGTAATAAGTTCTTTCGTATGAAAGCAGAAAACAGAATGACGAAAGTTTGAATAAATAGCACAAATAAAAAGAGAGTTATAACTGAATTGAAAGATGAAATCACTACATCTATTCCAACCTTAAATCGGAAATAAGGTCAGTGGATTTTGACGTAGTCACGTACAACTTTCCCAAATTTCGCGTGCTAAAAATAATATCAATAATTTCTGTTTTCTCCTAAGCGCTTTCTCCCTCGGGGTACTACTAAAAATGTATTATGGATAGTTGTCAAAGCTCCTCTAAAGAGAAAAGACCCTTCTGAGTCATAAATTTTGAAAATGTGACATTCTGGTAATTTTGTGTCTTTGAAAAAATGGGAGCGTTGTCCGCCATTACACCACAATGGCATTACCGATCCGGCCAATTTGCAATTCTTCAATATAGCTTTCTTATGGTTTGTCCTATTTCGTTTTATTTTGCCATTCTGCTTTTTGTGAGAGCAATTTGTTATTGAGGTTAGATTTTTCCCTTTAAAGTGTTAGTTTGTAATGTCAAAGAAATAGAATAGTCAAGACTTGCCTTTTACATGAGTCAATAATCCGCATATCTAAGGTATGTTTGGTGGTAAACTCGGCGATCGGGGCATGATACATGGAGGTGTCTATACTGGTGTCTATAGGGGTACATAGGGCCAGGAACACACCCTCATCTCCAGATTTTACATCTCCCTCGGGATGAAGGAATCGACCGTCTATATGAAAAGGCTGAAAAGAAGTTCAGCAAAATTACATGGAAATGTTTTTTGTTTAAAATGTAATAATCTAGTCTACCCAATATGGTAAAATCCGTAATTCATTTAAAATATTTTCATGAGTCGTAATAGACTCCATATTTAATGAAAAATTCGTGTAGATGTTTTGCTGATAATGCAATCACACTTCGAAAAGAAGTTTTACCGATTCAGGACGAAAGTAAAAGAAATAGATTTGAATGAAATCAATGAAACAAGAAAAATTAATGAATGTTTGAAATTGCCCTATAATGATATGAATATCAATACATCAACCGCAAATTTATAAAAAAATACCACTTTCACTTTTCTTACCTTGCATTCTGTTCCTTGAAATGGCATTCTTCTGCGTAGAGACCGGGACATGATCATTTGACATACAAACGAATATCTTGATGAACCTGTAAAAATGCAAGAAAACTACTCATTAATTTGTCATTCACTTAGAGACAAAACCTTACGCCACTACTCTTAATTATATTATTTCAAAGGCCAACGACAACATTCCAATCATGTAAAGCCTGAGAAAGATGATGAAGGAGCTGGAATTGACATGATTGATATTTGAGGTATTCTAATGATGATTTTTTTTCTTCTCATGATCCTAAAGAATATTTACATTTTAGTAACCTTGTAGACCAATATTCCAATATTTTCTTTGAAGATGCTCTAAATACGCTTAGTGAAAGGCAAAAAAAAAAAAATTAAAAATAGAAAGAACCCGTAGAATGAATACAATTTTAACGAAAATGTCTTTTTTACATTTCACGAATATAGATGAATCAGAATCAGCTTGAGAAGAATTATTGGTCATCGTACTCTAAGCACCCTAAACATCTTTTTAACTGACAATACAAAAACAAGTCTTTAAACAAATGTCTTTGTTTTTTCATAATATGATCTAGGCACTTTGGTATTGTTCATCTAACCATTAAATGACAAATCAGAAACGAGAAACCCTCTGAATATTATTGTCTGAAATCTGTTATACGCCATAAGCCGTAAAACTCAAAATCACAAGTGATCAAGGTAAATATCCTGAAGTGGAAACAGCAGCTTCTTGACTCACGTGCTAAACAGGCATTCTTGTCACTGGCGGCGTTGAGATGAGTCTGGAGGGTCACATGATCAGCTACATCTACCAGATCATATACATCTCCTCCACCAGATAAGATCTCTACCTAGAAAATTTAATAATTTTGAAGAACGAGTTACCTATCGTGTTTTGTTAGGGTTCATACTGTCTCAAACTGGGGAGGCAGCGGCCCCTTCCATGTTCCTCTTCATCAGAAAATAATAATAATAATAATGATACATTTATAGAGCGCAGAAACTATCCAACATTAAGTATAAGAGCTCCTGATATGCTTAGATTTACAGTTACAATGATGAAGTCCTACAATTTAAAGCACAACACGAGGAGATAGATAGCGCCCTCGCGCTGCGTGGACGTGTTTTTCACAGGCTCTCTCAATCCGGTCAACTTTTCGGGAAAAATTGCATATCTTCACTGGAAAATTATACTTTTCTTCTGGAAGTTGGTTTCATTGCATATATGTTCAGGATATTGGATCCATAAGCGTGGTGAATTGGGTTATACAGTATAGGGTAAGCAAACAAAATCTGGGCTTTCTATACTCACCCTCTAACACACACGCACGGCGGGATTTGATTTTCCCGCCTCCCCCTAACACCCAATCATGACGACTTCCGCTCCGGAGGTCGACAGTTTCAACCTGGACGAGGAGTTTCGGACAGTCACGTATGGCAAGAAACGCCAAAATAAACGAAAACGTGAAGGAAGTCTGACTGTAGAATCTATCTCCCTCAGAACGGACTCCTCGACCAGTTCAGATTCAGACACCTCACGAAATACTGACTACAAAACTCCCTCCTCTAACCGCACCACTTCCATCCATAGCACCCAACTTTTGAAAACCCTGATAGTCCCAATAGATAAGACCAAATCCTTAAAGAACGTAACCCCTAAAGCAATAGCTACATCGATCAAAGAATGTGTGGGACAAACACCCATGATTGAGTTTATCAAACACACGTACTCCGGAATTCTTGTTCAGTGCAAGACCCCAAAACAACATCGAAACCTTAACCAAATCCAATCAATCGTTAACATTCCAGTTAAAGTACAAGAGAAGATCGTGGGTGTAGAAGGTGTCATTTCAGGGATCCCGGTAGACATGACAGAGAAAGAGATAGAACAAGAGCTGAAATGCCAAAAAGTTATAGCAGTTAAAAGAATCATGAAGAAAAGAAAAGAAAACAAAGGAAATGAAAACGAAACAAATCAGCCAGAGTACTTTCCGACTAGAAGTGTCATCTTGACTTTTAACTCAGAACTTCCAGAAAAGGTTTCTATGTTTTTTCAGACATTCAGAGTCTCGTTATAATATATCCCACTCGTTCCCAGGTGTTACAGATGCCAAATGTTTGGTCATGGCATTGCTCATTGTAGATCGAAGTTGAGATGCGTTCGCTGTGGAGATCCCCACACTTTCGAACAATGCCAAAGAAAGAAGATCCAAAATGTGTAAATTGTGGAGAAGCCCACTCCGTTGCCTATAATGGCTGCAAAGAAGCTAAAAAGGCAAAACAGGTCCAGCAATTCAAATGCGAAAACAAACTAACTTACGCACAAGCCTCGAAGGCATGGAACGAAAAACAACGTCATGATCAAATTTCCAACCCTATCCCAGAACCCATTCAAAAGAGCGCTCAACAACAGGGTGCATATCAACCCCAAACAAACAAAGAGTCTCCCCCCAATTACGAACCCCCTACCAAAGTTTCAAGTGCTCCTCATTATGAACAACCATCCAAAGTCCCCTCTTCCTTATACTCCCAAGATCAAAATCAATCAAACAGAAATACAAAACTCGCGGGGAACGCAAATTTAACAAATACTTATGTCAGAAATGGAATCTCCTCAACAACAGAACGAAATGAACAAATATTGCTCTCTATTGTACAATTGATAATGATTTTTGAAAAAGATAAAAGAGAAGTTGATATTATTGAGCTGGTTAAAGTAGCAGCGGAAAGACTACTTTACAAAAGATTGAATCACGAGCAGTATGATGGGTGCAGTTAGTTATTTAACAACAATAGCTGTGCTTTCCATTCTCCAATGGAACGCACAAGGCATGTCCGCACATGGACATGAGCTCTTGAAATTTGTAGACTGTAATAATAGAACAAATAAAATAATTCATTTAATTTGTATCCAAGAGACTTGGTTCAATGACACCAGGAACTTAACCCTTCCAGGCTATACTTGTATCCCCCAAAACAGAAAATCCCAATATCGAGGTGGATGTGCTTTTTATGTTCATGACTCTATCCAATACAATCACTCCTCTAGAGATGAGACAGATTTAGAATTACAATCCATAGAATTATACGTAGCTGATTCTAATTATCGAGTTGTGAATTTTTATAACCCATGCAAACAACTAAACCAAATTATCATGCAAGAACTTCAAAAAAGCATCCAAGAATACGATAAATATATCATCGTAGGAGACTTTAACTCACACAATACTTTATGGGGGAGTGAAAAAACGGACCCCAATGGCAAGATCATTGAAAACTTCATAAACGAAAAAAATATGGTTTTATTAAATGATGGGTCCGGAACAAGAATGGATCCGAAGAACGCAAAAGTATCAGTTTTAGATCTATCAATTACGTCCCCCCTCTTATCTGGCAGATGCGAGTGGCGCGCTTTACAAAACAAATTTGGAAGCGATCATTACCCAATCTCTATTCATATCATACTAGATAAAAAGCACAACGATAATAGACAAGACGAAATGGAAGATATCAGATGGTCCTTTCGGAACATGAACTGGACAATTTTCTCGGGAGAGTGTGAAAAAATGTTTCATCGAGAAAACGAAAAAAATGTAAATGAAGACCCAACAGAGTTATATCTACACTTTATCAGTACGATCACCGAGGTTATTCAGAAAACCTATCCAAAAAAAGGTAAACGACAACGAAAACCCATCCCTTGGTGGAATAAGGAGTGCTCAGATAAAATAAAGGAGAGAAATAGAGCTAAAAAGAAACTAAATAGAACAATATCGATTGAGAATTTAAACGACTTTTTGAAGAAGAAGGCAGAGACGCAGAAATTCCTTCGTCAATGTAAACAACTATACTGGAACAACTTCTGCCAGAAACTTAATCGATTTGTCCCGGAATCTAACATCTGGAAATGCATTAAAAGATTGAATGGCATACAAACCAAAACAAAAAGAATTCCAGTACTGAAAGACAAAGAAAGGATTATGCAGTCGGACCAAGACAAGGCGGAGTTACTTGGAGGTTTCTTTCATACAATTTTTACTACAGAAGCGCCAAAATCAACAGAAAAAACCCGAAGTTGGCAGCCGAATCAGGAAATTAAGGATAATACATTAAAGGAAAGTAAAGTACATACTCTGAATGGGGCTTTCGGACTAGCAGAATTCAATAGAGCCATCGAAAAGAAAAGAAATTCTGCTCCTGGAAAAGACAGAATACCGTATTCAGTTTACCAAAACTTGCCCCTTGTGGCGAGAGAGTACGTACTACATTTCATTAATTTAATCTAGGAATCCAACCAAATCCCTCCCCAACTTAAACACGCGATAATGGTCCCAGTCCTAAAACAGAACGGAAATGCAAGTGAGGCATCATCGTATCGACCCATAGCGTTATCGTCATGTCTCATAAAAATCATGGAAACGATGATTAAAACAAGACTTGATTGGTTTCTAGAGAAACATGGGATATTACCTACTTTTATGAGTGGGTTCAGAAGAGGCCGTAGTATAACAGACAATATAGTAAATCTTGAAAACGATGTCCAGAAGAGTATAAATAATAAAGAGCATACTTTAGCCGTTTTCTTAGACATAAATAAGGCATATGATACAGTATGGATAGAAGGCCTAATTCACAAACTAGGAAGTATAGGTATTCAAGGAAACATGCTTAGATTTCTTCACAACTTTTTAAAAGACCGCACTTATCAGGTACGCGTTGGTAAACAACTATCGCACGAGTTCAAGATGGATAGAGGTCTCCCGCAAGGTAGCATATTGAGTCCCACACTCTTTAACACAATGCTCAACGATATCCCAACAGACCATAGACGTATTACGTCTATGAACAGACCCTTCGATAAAAATATCCTTGTATGCCGATGATTGCGCGATATGGATCTCACGCAGCAATATTCCTTTCATTACCAAAAAAATACAAAATTATATTGATGACCTATACATAGCTGGTTCACGTCCTGGGGTCTCCAACTGTCGTTAAAGAAGACTGCCCCCCTACTTTCACCAAAAGTACCAAAAACCATGAGATAAACCTCACTTTAAACAAAATACCACTAAAATGTGAAAATACACACCGATTCCTAGGTATGTTATTTGACAAAAAACTTAACTGGACCCAACATATAGAGTATTATATTCACCAGATGCAAGAGAAAAATAAATATTTTAAGATGTTTAACTGCATGGTACGTCATGGGGCAGTTCATCTAAGCCTTAATAATGGTTTATAGAGCTTATATTCGCCCCCTTTTGGACTTCGGGTGTGAAGCCTACGACAGTGCATCGGAAAACATAAAGAAGGTGTTAGATCCGATTCAATACCAATCCTTAAGGATATGTGCAGGTGCCCTACCGTTAACTTCACTAGCGTCTCTCCAAGTAGAAATGGGAGAAGCCCCATTAGATCTTAGGAGACAACAACTAGCCCTAAAATATAAGCACAGCATAGAACAACAACCTAAGCATCCAGTTTTTCCAAGTTTACAACCTTGTTGGCAGTATTAGTACATGAAAGGAAAACAGTGCAACAAACCGTTTGGTTATCGAACAGAAAACTCTAACAAACACCTTTCTGTAGAAAAATTAAAACCCCTAAACTTCCCCCCATGGTTACTAACGGAGCCTGTTATATCAATTGAATTGGCTAGTCAGATAAACAAATCTGATAATCCACTGCTTTTGCAACAGAGAAGTTTAGAGATAATAAACACAAAATGGTTTAGCCAACTTCACATATTCACAGATGGGTCCAAACTCCCTAAAGAAGGACGTTGTTCTGCAGCTTTCTATGTTCCTTACTTCGCGTGTAAACAATCAAAGAGATTGTCTGACGGAACATCCTCATATAGAGCTGAGCTGGCGGGGATAATGCTGGCCCTCAATTGGTTACACCAGTTAGATACATTATGTAGGATCAGTTATATTCAGCGACTCACTAAGTGCCTTAGTAGCAATAAAGAACAAAAAAGAAGAGAATTTTATTTCAGAAATACTTGTAAGCTTATCCCACCTTAAATTAAAAAATATAAATGTTAGCTTTGAATGGATTCCCTCCCACTGTGGAATAACAGGAAATGAATGTGCGGATTTTCATGCCAAGGCAGCCCTCAGCAAACACGTTGAAATAACAAACAGCCTTAATATCTCAGAAGTGAACAGCAATTTAAAAAAGCATTTTACCGAGCTGTGGTAATTAAGATGGCAGGTTTCTCCAAATACACACTACAAAACAATCCAAAAATCGGTTTCACAAACCTTCAATTGCAAACTAGAGCGAGCAAAAGAAAAGATAATACGTCGTTTACGACTTGGACACATCGGTCTTAACGCGGATCTAGGCCGAATGGGAATACATCCAACTTGACACTGTAACTCGTGTCGAGAAGTAAAAACCACTGAACACTTTATAGCAAAGTGCCCGAAATATTTAATTGAAAGATCCATGCTACTCGCTGAAACAGATTGTATAAATCCCGACGATATTTTAAGGCTCTTAAATTCATCAGAAGCTAACATTCAAAACGCTTTATACCGTTTCGTTGTAAGAACGAAACGTTTCAATTAACCCAAAATATTCGAACATTTTTTTTTTTTTTTTTTTTTTTTGCACCACCACTCACAAAAGCCCACATTTTGTTTGTTTCCCCTAAACATTTTAATTATCCAATGCAACATGTATTATAAACACCACTCTATCACAACATTGTTTTTCTTTTAATCGAAGGTTTATTAAAGTCTGCAAAGTCGCTCAAAGCCAATTTCCCCGGAAAAGTACCCTCTTGATTTTAAAATTGTTGATCAATTCTTTCTTCTTTCGAGTTTCCAGATTATTAATGTTTTCCCAAAGGGAGCCCCCTGTCTACACCCGAGAGACAGGACGGTGTCTGGACGGTGTCTTAGAACGGACAGGACTACGCGGTAACCTACAGGATACAAAAATCTACATTTTGTCGTATTTTTAATTTTTTTTCTTCATCTATTTTCTCTTTCATTTCATTTTAAGGGGGAAATGAAGAAAAAGAAAAAAAGAGAGAAGCCTATATTTAATTTTTATTTTTGATACTCTATTTAAAAAAAAGAGAAAGAAAGAAATTAATATTAAAAAGAAAGGCGTTGGTGATAATAGTCAGGTCTTGACTGATTGCCATTACAACAAAAAACAACAACAACATTTTCCCAGCGGGCGTTATTGTATCGACTGACGTAAAAATGCATGGAAGTAGGAACCATACAAGAACAGCTAGTAAAGGTCAAGAGTCGGCGCGTGGTCCACAGACAAAAATAATGAAATATAGAGGATGTAGGCGTATACTGCGTATATAGGCGTATAATATCCTGCATATAGATCGATAATCCTGAATCCACCGACAACCAGGGGCGTCGCTAGACCTTTTTCAGTGGGGGGGGGGGGTGTAGAGGCCAACAATTACCGACAAAACTAGCCACCAATTACCGACAAAACTAAACGTCCAATATCTACAAATTCAACCCTATAAACCTGGGGCAGAAGGCTAAATTGTTTTTCCTATGGACTATCTATAGTACTTGCATCTGCGCAAAATGGTCATTTTCCTCGACGACATAAATATACGGATTATTTCTTCAATTTAGTCAACATCATAGCTATATATTTTAATGCAGGCGCGGAGCTTTGACGTTTCATTAAATTATTATAAAAAGAAGACGATTTGCTGTACCGTTCTCGACTGTTTATCCTTTTCTGAATTCAGTTCCCCCCCCTCCCCTCCCGCGCAAAGCGCGGAAGCTTTAACGTTTCATTAAATTATGAGAAAAAGCAGACGATTCGGTGTACTGTTCTCGACTCTTAATAAGCCCTATTCATCTGAATTCAGTTTCCCCCTCTCGCGCAAAGCGCAAAAGCTTTGACGTTTCATTAAATTATTAGAGAAAGAACACGATTCGTTGTACCGTTTTCGACTCTAAATAAGCCCTATTAATTTTGTCTGAATTCAGTTTCCAACTCTCGCGCGAAGCGCGGAAGCTTTGACGTTTCCTTAAATTATTAGAGAAAGAATACGATTCGTTGTACCGTTTTTCGACTCTAAATAAGCCCTATTAATTTTGTCTGAATTCATTCTCCCCCTCTCGTGCGAAGCGCGGAATCTTTGACGTTTCCTTAAATTATTAGAGAAAGAACACGATTCGTTGTAACGTTTGTGACTCTAAATAAGCCCTATTAATTTTGTCTGAATTCAGTTTCCAACTGTCGCGCGGAAGATTTGACGTTTCCTTAAATTATTAGAGAAAGAAGACGCTCCTTGTACCGTTCTCGACTCGTCTAAATAAAGTTTTCCCCTTCCGCGCGAAGCGTGGATTTTTTGGCGTTTCATCACCATATAGAGAAAGGAAGACGATTCCTCGTACCGTTTTCGAATCTTATTAAGCCCTATTCATCTGAATTCAGTTTCCATATCTCGCGCGAAGCGCGAAAGCTTTGACGTTTCCTCAAATTATTCGAGAAAGAACACGATTCGTTGTACCGTTTTTGACTCTAAATAAGCCCTATTAATTTTGTCTGAATTTAGTTACCACCTCTCGCGCCAAGCGCGGAAGCTTTGACGTTTCCTTAAATTATTAGAGAAAGAACACGATTCGTTGTAACGTTTGCGACTCTAAATAAGCCCTATTAATTTTGTCTGAATTTAGTTACCACCTCTCGCGCCAAGCGCGGAAGCTTTGACGTTTCCTTAAATTATTAGAAAAAGAACACGATTCGTTGTAACGTTTGCGACTCTAAATAAGCCCTATTAATTTTGTCTGAATTCAGTTTCCAACTGTCGCGCGAAGCGCGGAAGATTTGACGTTTCCTTAAATTATTAGAGAAAGAAGACGCTCCTTGTACCGTTCTCGACTCGTCTAAATAAAGTTTTCCCCTTCCGCGCGAAGCGTGGATTTTTTGGCGTTTCATCACCATAACGAGAAAGGAAGACGATTCCTCGTACCGTTTTCGAATCTTATTAAGCCCTATTAATCTGAATTCAGTTTCCCCATCTCGCGCGAAGCGCGAAAGCTTTGACGTTTCCTCAAATTATTAGAGAAAGAACACGATTCGTTGTACCGTTTTCGACTTTAAATAAGCCCTATTAATTTTGTCTGAATTTAGTTACCACCTCTCGCGCGAAGCGCGGAAGCTTTGACGTTTCCTTAAATTATTAGAGAAAGAACACGATTCGCTGTACCGTTTTCGCCTCTAAATAAGCCCTATTAATTTTGTCTGAATTCAGTTTCCCCTTCTCGCGCGAAGCGTAGAAGCTTTGACGTTTCCTTAAATTATTAGAGAAAGAAGACGATTCGTTGTACCGTTCTCGACTCGTCTAAATGAAGTTTTCCCCTTCCGCGCAAAGCGCGGAGTTTTTGGCGTTTCATCACAATATAAAGAAAGGAAGACGATTCGTCGTAACGTTGTTGACTCTTAAACCTTGTTTGAATTTAGTTTTCCCGAAAATTTTAAACCTCTGATTTCTTTAGCTGATATCATAGGAAAGTGAAACTTCGAGAAAATACAAGTATTGTAGTTGTAGTCACTCTCGAAGTCGTTACAGCGGATAAGAAGTCACAGTTTGTAGAGAAAAAACTTGTCGGCCGACCGACAATATACATCTCACCGACTTCAAACTTCTGCATTGATATAGCACACGAGGATCGAGCAAGAATACCGACACAGCTGACCCGACACAGCAACATATTTACCCGTGTCTTTCTTGCTCCCTCGACGAGACGACTCCAGCCAACAACCCCCTTCTCTCTTTTACTCCCACTCCTCCTCTCTCAGACTCTTACCTCCCCTCTCTCTCTCCTCTATTTCACCCCCGTTTCTTTTGTTTCACTTTCACTTTTTTTTTTTTTTTTTTCTTTTCCTTTCATTCCTCTGCTCCCTCTTTTTCTTTTTTCTGTTTCTTTCTTCTCTTTTCTTTCCTTTCTTTTTCTTTCTTTCCTTTCTTTTTCTTTCTTTCCTTTCTTTTCCTTTCTTTCTTTTCTTTTCCTTTTCTTTTTCTCTTTTCTTTCCCTTTCCCTCTCTTTTTTCCCTCCTTTTTTTCCCCCTCTTTTTTTCCCTCTCTTTTTTCCCTCCCCCTTTTCTCTTTTTCCCGACGGCAGCGCAATTTTACCGACAATATCCTGACAGGTGGGGGGGGGGGGGTGTCGCACCCCCACACCCCCCCCCTTTTGGCGACGCCCCTGCCGACAACATAACTTTGCATAAATTAAACAATTAAAAGATAGGCATTGACGTAGAACAATAATAAGGGGATTATAATTAATCTACATAATTGCCAGTTATGTAATAATTCGAACCCTTTTTTGTTTGTTAGTTTGTTTCAGAAGTGCTAATTAGAAGGAAGAAAAAAAAAATATTCAGCGTTGTGAGTAAATTCACATTTCTGTAGTTGTTTTTCAACTGAAATCGGATAGAATAAAGAATTTGAATTTGGGAGCATAACAACATTGGCTGAGCAACGATTTGAGATATTTTTGATATACATCTATTACAGCGTGCTGTAGATGATAAGCTGAATATTGAGGTCAAGAGTCTAACTTTCAAACATACACATTATCATTTTCACATTTATGTAGTCTCAAGTTAAAGAAAAAAAAATTGACATAAGTATTAGTTAAAAAAATCATATTAGGCGGTGTCACACAGAAAAATCCCTTTAAAAAATCCCTTGAAAAATCCTTTCAAGGGTCATTGTTATTATTTATAATTTCTGCTTTTTTGTGCGTGTGTGGATGTCCAGGCCCTCCAATTTTGTTTGATTTTGGAAGAGTAAGGGGGGTCTCCCTACTGCATCTCAAGATGTCTAGATTCAAGAGAAATATTCGTCTTACCATGGAATGCCCTAGATGATCGATGACGTTTTCTGATACATGAAGAATCTTTCCTGATGGTCGTACTAAAAGCAGAAATCCCGATAAAGCCTGTTTTCACACAAAATTAATAAGGGTGAAATTAAATGAAACAAAAAGGTTACTGATGAGACGCCCATTCATATAGTAAACAAACACAAACATAACAAGTATGATTGCGCGTACTTCATTGCTTTTTGAATCCATTTTGATTTTTCATTTCAAAAATCAAAATTGGTTAACACGGAGATGGGACGAAAAATCATCCCACCCCTTCACACCAACAATATTTGCAATTGCAAATTGCAAATTGTAAATTGCAACATAATGATAATAATAATAATGATAATGATACTAATAATGATAATAATAATAATAATAATAATAATAATAATAATAACAATGACAATGAAAATGATAATAATGATAATAATTATAATAATGATAATATTATGTCTTGTTTACCCAGGGTAGCCTCATCAGTTTTAATACTTTTGTCCCTGAGGGCCCCGCTTTACCGAGCTACCATGATGAGGTCATCGACATCAACGACAACAGCAACACATGCATGACAGCACGGTAACTAGGTCACGTGAAATATATTTTTGACACGCATAACAATAAAATTGTTTCCTTCACCATGTGATCATTAACAATTTATTCGTCATTGTTGTTTCGGACGTACATATTCTGAAACCTCACTGACATATTCTTTGAGAAGAGAATGTTGGTTTTTGAATATCCACAGGAGTTTACTTTTCATTACTTCTCAATCCTTGGGCCCGCACGACCCGGTTAAGAGAATTTAATGACCTCATACCATAGCAAAAATGAGAAAATGATAAACAAGAGATGGATCACCTCTGCAAATTTAACACAAATAGAACTCCTTCTATTACAATAGATAGCCACTACATACTCTTGAGGCATGAGGATTAGAATAATCTCACGACGGGACGATCTAATCCCATCGGAGCGGATTAAGAGTGCTTTGCTATCGAACGCGGATTTGAGAAGTCATTTTACGCGCGAGCTGCAATCTTGTTGATATGGGTAGAGCAATTTTTTGTAATTATGAAATGCATTTTTCTGGCTTATTCGGTATGGTATCCAAATATAGAGCATGATCCTTGACATCCTTGTCATGAAAACAGGCAAGATGTAGGTAAACAAACGATATACCTATTTCTATTTTAGATGTATATTAGAAACTCATTTTTTATGTTAAATTCAATTTTATCCCATCGAAAGAAAAAAAAAGGAAATTCAAGTTTTGTCTGATTTTTTTTTCTCAATTTATTTTGTACGGCAAAGTTTAATTGAGTGAAACTACAGTGCATCCATTTTTTTAATTTTTTTTTTTTTTTTTTTTTTTTTTGGGGGGGGGGGGGGTCAAAATCCATGTATGTCATCAGTTTGAACAAACGCCATAACCGCGAGTATTGGACGATCAATAAAAGAGGCGTAGTTCGTCGAATATAACATTAAGAAGAATTGAAGAACTTGTATTGATTCCAGTAATTTCGAAATTCTTAACCGTTTTTTTCCCCTTAAACGTTCAATGCTTGCTTAAAGGCATTATTTAACAATGTTTCCAGTTTTACAAATCTGAAATGCGTGGCCCTACGTGTTATCAGTGTACGTCTGACGTGATATGGTGTAATATTTAAGCCCTAAAAAATACGCTTCATAATGATCATGAAGTGCTTCAAAAAAGTAAAAATCTTTGAGTGACCGGTTTTACCATACACATTTTCCCAAATATACTGTAGTGTTCAAAATTGTTTGGAAAATGACGGTTTTGACGTTTCTAATTCCAATCATAAATATCTTGATATTCAGACAAACGATAGGCTTGTAAAAGTCATGGGATTCCTGACTGACCTAAAGGTTTATAATTATGATTGCAGCATGAGCTAAAATCCAGGATTTTGTTTAGACTCTGAGGCAAAAATACCCAATCCCTTTAACTTTTGAACAATCTTTTTAAAAATAGAAGTCTAATATATCCTGATGAAATAGATAATTTGTTGATCTATCTATAATTTTGATAGATCGATTGGGCCGCTAATGAAAATAAGCAGATAGTCAGTTTCACCTGTCATATTGTTAAAGTGCAGTATTCATTACAATAAAGTTCTTTCAATCCCTTTTATTTTATAACTTTAACAATAAACGAATAAGATAAGATGGTAGAACGTCTTTGAAACGGAGGCACCAACATAAAAAGGGCACCTAAAATGTTAGATGCAGATAATTGTGAAAATACAAATTTTCAGGCAAAAGTTAACTCATATTCGGGCGACAACATGCCTTTACATGATTTTCATAAAATCCAGTTTGTTTTGTTAAAGGTAAAGACCAGTTATGGTCATGCGATTGCATTGTGAAAGAAACGTTGTGGAATCGATCAGAAAAGGTTGATCATCTAGCATCTAGCATCTGCAAGGTTCTGGAATCATCAAAATGATAAGAAATTTGGCCCATTCTTCGTAAAGTTACAAGAACTATACACAGAAAGATGTATATGGGACTACCCTATATCTCTCACAGACCATGAGAGAAACAAATTTACCAAATATATGAATTAGTAGGCGGTTTCCCGGCAAATTTTTTATCATCATGTATTAGTCAAAACATATTCTTTCACATGATTGGTAATGAGAGCTTCCATTTCATTTTTGAAATTGGGGCGTTTCCAATACTGGTCTTTACCTTTAAGAAAATGATATTTGACCGTGATAAAGACAGTATCATCTTTTTCAGAAACTAGGATGTTGATATTCGGGGAAGCCGAGGCGCCACTTCCAAATCTCTCGCGAAAATATTCCAGTATACGCCTATACGCTAACTATACAGTGAAACCTGCGTATATAGACCACACAAGGGAGACAACAAAAGTGGGCTTCATGAGCAGGTGGTCTTCATGAGCAGGATTCCTATGATACATGTTTCAATGAGAAACACAATACAAGGGAGACAAAAATTGTGGTCTTTATAGACAGGTAGTCTTCCTATAAATATACAGGTGGTCACTAAAGCAGGTTTGACTGTACTAAAATTCTGTAACAAAAAAAAATAATCGTATATCACACTAATATAATCAGAGGTTCGCGATAATCCGTCATATCCACATTCTAGTCGGAGACCAGCCTGTAGGTCCCGTGACCAATCATTGATTCTAATGATTTTAGTGTCTAATAATATGTTTTCTGACATAACAAATTTAACTAAGCAACTTTTAAAATCAAAAGTGGTTGCCATAACCTTGAAATTTCCCCCAAACCCATGGATAAGAAGTTGTTAGATGTTTGTCACCGAAACGGCAGCCATTTTGAATGTACATGGTCAAGGTAAGCACTTTTACTTTTGAAAGTTGTATAGTTGAATTTGCCATGTCAGAAAACATATTATTAGACCCTAAAATCATTAGAATCGGACAATGTTAACTGTGTTGGTGAATTTCTAAAGTGCATTGACCCTTTTTGACCATAGCGCCCTCATTTAAGGTCGGGGGTATATCAAACTATACATTTTTGGAATCCTTATGACCAGACGAGTAATTTGATATGCAATTTGATAAGATTAACTGTGTTGGTGAATTTGATCACCAGCCAAAAGTGTGTTGACCTTTCAACATTTTTTACCATAGCGCCCTCATTTAAGGTCGGAGGTATAGCAAACTATACATTTTTGGAATCCTCATGACCAGACGAGTAATTTGATATGCATAATAACACGATTGGAACTATTTGAATTTTTATCCCTGTGTGACCTTTGTTGACCCCTCACGAAAATGCCCGGGATTTTCAAGGGGGCAGCCCAAGTCAAAATTGTTCGGTATTCATCAGGGAACACAAAAACACTTTCAAACCTTTGTTCCCAGAGATTGGTCACGGGACCTACAGGCTGGTCTCCTACTATTCATTGAAATCTAATTTCTAAGTGACTATACCTGGGTTATCTCGACTGTAGCAAGTGAGGATGTCTGACTTGATGACCTTGTCATCTCGCCGTTGGATTCATTTCCAACCATCCATGCTAAAAGGAAGAGAAATAGAGGGAAAATATGCCAATCGCAGAGGCCGGACTTAGTTATATCTTATGTTTGGCCCTGCTATTATGAAATCATTTTGTATGGCTAATTGTTCTTATACATATTCTTTCCTTTCTCCTTTAATCATGTACATGATTTTTTTTTTTAAAGGCGAAAAAAAAATTATAATTTGAAAGCTGCTACTTTTCTTCTCCTGCCAATAATCTTACACGTATAATTCATGTTTTTAACTTTTAGTAGATAATTTGTATCTAGATTGATTTGCGGATACTTAAAATTATTGCTTTTTTAATTTTAGTGATTTAATCGATCAAACGAACTTCAACCATCAACTAAAACCCCTCCCCCGTTCAAAGAGGTGTAATGATGCTCCTGATCCATACCTTTTGTATAAGAAGAAAAGAAGTTTCCCGTACGTATGTAGACACAGGCAAGCGACATGACTTGAAGATAACTCAGCCTCGCCTTGACGGCGGACGGCAGTGGTAGTAGGTGCCGTAATGTTTCAATCTCCGAGTTGATCTGATCGCGGCGCAACTTAGATGCTTTCCCTGTCGACCGCTGCATTGCTGAAATTAGGAACAATTCGTCCTTGTTTTCACGAAGTGACGGTAGTGAGGAAAATCGTAACGCAAAGTGAATGCAATTTTTGTTCACTACCGTCACTTCGTGAAAACAGCGACGAATTTATGTCTCGAGTTTTATTACTGTGTTTAATCTGTTAAGAACTTCCAAGTAATAAATACATTAATGTTTTCAGGTTCAACTTCAGAAGATAAACAAAACACCTTTCTTTCGTTTCATTAATTATTGTAACAAACACATTATTTAAGCCCCCATCACACCAAACTAGTTGTCACTACGTTCTGTAAAATGTTGCCAAACGTGCTCACACTGTGTGCGAACGGAGTGAACGTAGAAGCAACTTCTTACGACCTGTTAAAGAACTTTATGGACGGACTCGGACTGGCTAGTGCGGGAGAGTCTCTAGAACTTTGAGCCTGTTCAAAATTTCCCCCGTCCTGCAATTAGACGGAGTGACAACGTACTTAAAACGAGGAGGACGTACTACAAACGGACTGATTGCCGTACTATGAACGGAATTACCGTACTTCGATCGTACTAGGAAAGTGTTACAATGTGCTGTGGTCGAGCATCAATTTATTATTAGCAGCAGCTAAGCCCCATCACACCAAACTAGTTACGAACTACGAACTAGTTAAAATGGTTTGGAGGTATTGGAGACGAGGTAGAACTAGTTATTAACGGGTATAAACTGACTACGGACTGACTTGAACTGCCTGGAAATGGCAAATTTACCCGATCAGAACTTGATATGAACTGACTGTGGATGGGGTACAAACGACATGGACGTATTCGGGACTGTTTATAGACGAACTAGGGCCGTATTATAGACATTATTTACAAATTCTACTCCGACCACAACCCGTTTTACGATTTTCCGGGACGGTGAGAACTATATAATACCCAAACACTCCCTACTTCAAATGATCGGCTCATTGATTTTTATTTATTCAATCATAAATAAATGAAACGAAAAAGATGTGATCGCTTGCCTAGGTCAGTTTTTATCTGCTTATTACTTTTTCTTCAATTAAACCAAATCAAAGGCAGGTGATAATACACATCACATTGTATTTTTTTAACGTAGTTAGCAAACTAGCCGAGGCAGTTAGATTGCCATTATTGTACAATAGCATGATAATTTATACATAACTGCACTGAGACGGTTAAGTTTCTATTTTTATTTATTCAATCATAAATAAATGAAACGAAAAAGATGTGATCGCTTGCCTAGGTCAGTTTTTATCTGCTTATTACTTTTTCTTCAATTAAACCAAATCAAAGGCAGGTGATAATACACATCACATTGTATTTTTTTAACGTAGTTAGCAAACTAGCCGAGGCAGTTAGATTGCCATTATTGTACAATAGCATGATAATTTATACATAACTGCACTGAGACGGTTAAGTCGAGAGCATACGATTTAAGAGAAATCATTCAAACTTACCGTAAATCAAGCATAAATCAAATTCCAACTTTAAGCATCAAACACAATTGAGCGAAGAGGAGAGAGATGAAAGTTTGACAACCAGGAAAGTCCTTTTGAACGAGATGCTGTTCTACTCCAATCTATTACGGGCCGAGAGAGAAAGATGCTAAATATTCTTTTTGGCGCCTCAGCAGACGATATTGTATACGCATGCGCTCTTTCGTCATACACGAAAAGTGACGAAGGATTGTTTTCTTTTCAGATGACGTAAACCAAACTTCACCTCGGAAGTCGCAATGGGATGTAAACATCTAATGAAGCTCTTCAATCTTTTTATCTCATAAATTCATCAAAAATCGGAAATTCTCTAATTAAATATATTTATTTGCATTCAACCAATATAGGACAACATCACGTCCACATCTTGATAACAAAAACAAGTCAAAGGTACTGTTCAGCATTATCGGCCACATGGAATTTATATTGTGCATTTTCAGCATCTTGAGTACAGCGAAAATGTTTATGGTGCTTATAATTTGAAAAGTCGCAAATAAAGTCCGGAAAATAATGTAAATGCTATTCAAATCTAATTTGATATTACTCTCAGGATTTTTATTCTCAGATAATAGAATACTAAAACAAGTGCTGCATAAAATTTGATACAGATTAGTAACATCTAAATCCCCATAGAGATGCATTGGTATTGCGTTTAATATGGTCATATATTTTAGTTTCTTGTTCATGTCATAACTATGATAAAGAACCAATTAAAGACGAAGAAAAATGTGTCGCATTAAATGCAATATATATATAATGATAATTTCTTTTCTTCATATTTACCTACTTATAGAAAACGGATTTTTGTGACTCTAATTGAATGACATATCGAGAAAAAAAATACGTGAGAACTGTGCAAAGGACATATTATTGAATTTACTTGTTACATGACTTTGCATGAACACAACACAAATGATAGTCGTCGCTTGGTCAAACAAGCTTTATCCCGGTAAACACGAGGCATCATCTTAATCTATGTTAACGATCGATCTACAGCATGTTAGTAATACATTACATACAATACTTGTTCAGATGATGCAAATCTTTTTATATCCGGAAATAATTTAAACTATTTAGCTTCAAATTAAATTTTGAATTACAAATAAAACAAAATAAAAACGGTGTCTTGCCAATAGATTGAAGTTTAATATTGATAAGACTTGTCGTATGATTTTCAAACCAAAAAATTATCATATTTGTCCACATGATATTGATATACATAATAAAAAATTCAAAATTACAATCGTTCATTTAACAAGGAATTATCATTGATGATAATTCACTCGGAAAGAGCATAATAATAATATATCATGTAAAATAAATAAATCTATTCGTGCAATTAACAGGTCAAAGAAAATAATTCTATCAAACTGTGATCTTCTTAATATCAATGATTGTAATGTATTATGAGATTATTGTGCAAAGATGTTTTTGAACCGAATCCCTGCTTTACGAAAACAAAGAGCAGACAGTAATATGGCAATAGAGAGTGCAGTCAGAGAAATATTACCTTGAAAACTTGAAGCCTTATACTTGTGAGTTAAACTGCGTGTTTCAAGTGTGACGTCGAATGAATGATAGTAGATAACGTCATTGAAGCCCAATATGTGTACGTTGGAATTCATATAATTACAAAACATGCATACAGAAAAATAAACTATAAAATAAGAACATGATACCATTGAACACGTAAATACGGAAGCAAAAGGTTCTCTTTTTTACGTTATGAACCAAAAGGACGTAGAATTTTAATGACAGAATCTGTGATTTGTAGTGATATAGAGTGGAATATTTGCTGTTCATGTCTCCACCACGTAGAATAATTGCAATGGCGGTGGCGACACCAGGGAGGTGCTAGGATTACCCTCCTCTATATACACCGTTCTCCAAGTCAGCCACTCTTCTTAGATAGGTAAGGTTGACAATTTATTTTGTTTCTTTATGAACTATGTCTTTCGTGTGTTTCTTTCCTTGGAACGTTCCTGATCATGAGCTTTTGCTTTTGATCGCTTTCTATGAATTGGTGGAGCGTTTTCCTATTTTGTATAAGGACATTTTTTCATGAAAAACGACAACCTATACCTTTTGTTTAATACAAAAAGATATGGGTAAAAAATATGGGTATACCTAAGGATTTACTAGCAACTCCTTGGTATACCAGCACATAATGATATTGTACACCTCTCCTATCCTTTTGGATGATCAGTGGCGTATCGGGGGAGAATAGCCCAGGGGCATTCGGTGGAATTTATAAGGTGATTTCATTATTTTGTTTACTTGTAGCCAATCTCAAGCTACATAAAATGATGACATGATAATACCTATTTATGATGCAATTTATTCTGGGTGAGGAACGGAGTATGCGTTAAATATAGTCCTGAATAAATCATTCATTAATTTCTTGCAGACTGACAGCTGTTTATAAATTATTTTAAGTATTTGCGAGCAGGTGAATCGAGCGAGTAAAATCTTTCGTTTGATACACGGACTGGGGTCTATAAAAAGTGCATGTATACCAAAATCAGCGCGTGCAATAAAAAGTGCAATCAAGTGCAATAAGGACTATAACCAATTCTGATCTACAGTCTAGTACCAATCCTGTGTTTATAAAATTCAATCTGTAAATAATTATTAACAAATATCGAGTTGATATTTTTATGTTTTCATTTGTTCATAATTTATTACCCTTATTTTGTAATGATTTCTTCATTAAAAACTATTTGTTATTAATTACACCACTAGACAATTAGAAGATTTTTATTTGCTAAATTTAATTATGAATTCTCAAGATCTACAATTCAATGTGCTGGACCCATTCTATGGAATTTCCTAAAGAATAAAATAAAATCTTTCCCCTCTCTTGCCACTTTTAAAAGAAATTTAATTTTTTTCCTATTTTTAAACTGATTTAAAATGCCATTTACGATTTGAATTTCATTTGATAATTAGTTCTTGTGCCTTTTAAATAATATTTGTATTGCCGTTTTTGTTTAATGTTTTTTCTCTTTTGTTTCATAATTCATATACACATATACACAAATCATATATTTTGTAATGGGGTCTGTCATTGATAGGCTTGTTATCTTTGCAAATCTTACCATATTTGAGTTTGTTTGTGCTTTATACTTGTTATTTTCGTTTTCATTGTATATGTTATTGTCATTGTGATTGTTCTTTTCATTCATAATAATGTGAACATAAAATGAATTGAATTGAATTACTCCGTCTCCCCCTTCCCCCCCCCCCCCCTCTCTCTCTCTCTCTCTCTCTGTTTCTCTCTTGCTCTCTCTTTATCTTTCCTCCTCCCTCTGTCTGTCTGTCTGTCTGTATGTATGTATGTCTCTCTCTCTGTCCCTCTCACTCTCTCGCTCTCTTCCTTGATGAATGCTGCAAAATACAATCTTTAGCATCACTCGAACTCGAATCATTCATTAAATTGATTGTATGTGCGATTCATTTTCATAGTGTTATGAATCTGTTTTGCAGAGTTTTGTT